ACCAGGAAGTACGACCACATTAGTCCTGACTAGAACCAGGAAGTACGACCATATTAGTCCTGACTAGAACCAGGAAGTACGACCACATTAGTCCTGACTAGAACCAGGAAGTACGACCACATTAGTCCTGACTAGAACCAGGAAGTACGACCACATTAGTCCTGACTAGAACCAGGAAGTACGACCACATTAGTCCTGACTAGAACCAGGAAGTACGACCACATTAGTCCTGACTAGAACCAGGAAGTACGACCACATTAGTCCTGACTAGAACCAGGAAGTACGACCACATTAGTCCGTCTGACCAGAACCAGGAGTACGACCACATTAGTCCTGACTAGAACCAGGAAGTACGACCATATTAGTCCTGACTAGAACCAGGAAGTACGACCATATTAGTCCTGACTAGAACCAGGAAGTACGACCACATTAGTCCTGACTAGAACCAGGAAGTACGACCACATTAGTCCTGACTAGAACCAGGAAGTACGACCATATTAGTCCTGACTAGAACCAGGAAGTACGACCACATTAGTCCTGACTAGAACCAGGAAGTACGACCACATTAGTCCTGACTAGAACCAGGAAGTACGACCACATTAGTCCTGACTAGAACCAGGAAGTACGACCACATTAGTCCTGACTAGAACCAGGAAGTACGACCATATTAGTCCTGACTAGAACCAGGAAGTACGACCATCATTAGTCCTGACAAGAACCAGGAAGTACGACCACATTAGTCCTGACTAGAACCAGGAAGTACGACCATATTAGTCCTGACTAGAACCAGGAAGTACGACCACATTAGTCCTGACAAGAACCAGGAAGTACGACCACATTAGTCCTGACTAGAACCAGGAAGTACGACCACATTAGTCCTGACTAGAACCAGGAAGTATGACCACATTAGTCCTGACTAGAACCAGGAAGTACGACCATATTAGTCCTGACTAGAACCAGGAAGTACGACCACATTAGTCCTGACTAGAACCAGGAAGTACGACCACATTAGTCCTGACTAGAACCAGGAAGTACGACCACTTTAGTCCTGACTAGAACCAGGAAGTACGACCATATTAGTCCTGACTAGAACCAGGAAGTACGACCATATTAGTCCTGACTAGAACCAGGAAGTACGACCACATTAGTCCTGACTAGAACCAGGAAGTACGACCACATTAGTCCTGACTAGAACCAGGAAGTACGACCATATTAGTCCTGACTAGAACCAGGAAGTACGACCACATTAGTCCTGACTAGAACCAGGAAGTACGACCATATTAGTCCTGACAAGAACCAGGAAGTACGACCACATTAGTCCTGACTAGAACCAGGAAGTACGACCACATTAGTCCTGACTAGAACCAGGAAGTACGACCACATTAGTCCTGACTAGAACCAGGAAGTACGACCATATTAGTCCTGACTAGAACCAGGAAGTACGACCATATTAGTCCTGACTAGAACCAGGAAGTACGACCACATTAGTTTAGTCCTGACTAGAACCAGGAAGTACGACCACATTAGTCCTGACTAGAACCAGGAAGTACGACCAGATTAGTCCTGACTAGAACCAGGAAGTACGACCACATTAGTCCTGACAAGAACCAGGAAGTACGACCACATTAGTCCTGACTAGAACCAGGAAGTACGACCATATTAGTCCTGACTAGAACCAGGAAGTACGACCACATTAGTCCTGACTAGAACCAGGAAGTACGACCACATTAGTCCTGACAAGAACCAGGAAGTACGACCACATTAGTCCTGACTAGAACCAGGAAGTACGACCACATTAGTCCTGACTAGAACCAGGAAGTACGACCACATTAGTCCTGACTAGAACCAGGAAGTACGACCACATTAGTCCTGACTAGAACCAGGAAGTACGACCACATTAGTCCTGACTAGAACCAGGAAGTACGACCACATTAGTCCTGACTAGAACCAGGAAGTACGACCACATTAGTCCTGACTAGAACCAGGAAGTACGACCACATTAGTCCTGACTAGAACCAGGAAGTACGACCACATTAGTCCTGACTAGAACCAGGAAGTACGTACGACCATATTAGTCCTGACTAGAACCAGGAAGTACGACCACATTAGTCCTGACTAGAACCAGGAAGTACGACCATATTAGTCCTGACTAGAACCAGGAAGTACGACCATATTAGTCCTGACTAGAACCAGGAAGTACGACCACATTAGTTTAGTCCTGACTAGAACCAGGAAGTACGACCATATTAGTCCTGACTAGAACCAGGAAGTACGACCACATTAGTCCTGACTAGAACCAGGAAGTACGACCACATTAGTCCTGACTAGAACCAGGAAGTACGACCACATTAGTCCTGACTAGAACCAGGAAGTACGACCACATTAGTCCAGTCCTCAGGTCCCTGCACTGGCTTCCTGTGGCTCAGAGAATAGACTTTAAAACAGCTCTGCTTGTTACAAGTCTCTCCATGGCCTCGCACCAAAATATATCAGTGACATGTTAGTCCCATATGAACCAGCCCGGACTCTGAGGAGCACAGGGACTGGACTCCTGCTGGGACTCTGAGGAGCACAGGGACTGGACTCCTGCTGGGACTCTGAGGAGCACAGGGACTGGACTCCTGCTGGGACTCTGAGGAGCACAGGGACTGGACTCCTGCTGGGACTCTGAGGAGCACAGGGACTGGCCTCCTGCTGGGACTCTGAGGAGCACAGGGACTGGACTCCTGCTGGGACTCTGAGGAGCACAGGGACTGGCCTCCTGCTGGGACTCTGAGGAGCACAGGGACTGGACTCCTGCTGGGACTCTGAGGAGCACAGGGACTGGACTCCTGCCGGGACTCTGAGGAGCACAGGGACTGGACTCCTGCTGGGACTCTGAGGAGCACAGGGACTGGACTCCTGCTGGGACTCTGAGGAGCACAGGGACCGGCCTCCTGCTGGGACTCTGAGGAGCACAGGGACTGGACTCCTGCTGGGACTCTGAGGAGCACAGGGACTGGCCTCCTGCTGGGACTCTGAGGAGCACAGGGACTGGACTCCTGCTGGGACTCTGAGGAGCACAGGGACTGGACTCCTGCTGGGACTCTGAGGAGCACAGGGACTGGACTCCTGCTGGGACTCTGAGGAGCACAGGGACTGGCCTCCTGCTGGGACTCTGAGGAGCACAGGGACTGGACTCCTGCTGGGACTCTGAGGAGCACAGGGACTGGACTCCTGCTGGGACTCTGAGGAGCACAGGGACTGGCCTCCTGCTGGGACTCTGAGGAGCACAGGGACTGGACTCCTGCTGGGACTCTGAGGAGCACAGGGACTGGACTCCTGCTTGGACTCTGAGGAGCACAGGGACTGGACTCCTGCTGGGACTCTGAGGAGCACAGGGACTGGACTCCTGCTGGGACTCTGAGGAGCACAGGGACTGGACTCCTGCTGGGACTCTGAGGAGCACAGGGACTGGACTCCTGCTGGGACTCTGAGGAGCACAGGGACTGGCCTCCTGCTGGGACTCTGAGGAGCACAGGGACTGGACTCCTGCTGGGACTCTGAGGAGCACAGGGACTGGACTCCTGCTGGGACTCTGAGGAGCACAGGGACTGGACTCCTGCTGGGACTCTGAGGAGCACAGGGACTGGACTCCTGCTGGGACTCTGAGGAGCACAGGGACTGGACTCCTGCTGGGACTCTGAGGAGCACAGGGACTGGACTCCTGCTGGGACTCTGAGGAGCACAGGGACTGGACTCCTGCTGGGACTCTGAGGAGCACAGGGACTGGACTCCTGCTGGGACTCTGAGGAGCACAGGGACTGGACTCCTGCTGGGACTCTGAGGAGCACAGGGACTGGACTCCTGCTGGGACTCTGAGGAGCACAGGGACTGGACTCCTGCTGGGACTCTGAGGAGCACAGGGACTGGACTCCTGCTGGGACTCTGAGGAGCACAGGGACTGGACTCCTGCTGGGACTCTGAGGAGCACAGGGACTGGACTCCTGCTGGGACTCTGAGGAGCACAGGGACTGGACTCCTGCTGGGACTCTGAGGAGCACAGGGACTGGACTCCTGTTAGTGCCCAGAGTCAGAACTAAACATGGGGAGGCTGCTTTTCAGATTCATGCTGCTAAAATCTGGAACAGTCTTCCTGAAGATGTGAGACAGGCCTCCTCTCTGACAATGTTTAAAACCAGGTTAAAGACAGTTCTGTTTAGCTGTGCTACAACTGAGGGATTTTATATTTTTATCTTTCTTTTTAATGTTCTGTGATTATTTATGATTTTAATGCTTTCTTGTTCTGTTCAGCACTTTGAATTGCCTTGTGTATGAATTGTGCTATATAAATAAACTTGCCTTGCCACACACACACACACATAGACACACAGAGACACACACAGACACACACACACACACAGAGACACACACAGAGACACACACATAGACACAGACACACACACACACATAGACACAGACACACAGAGACACACACACACACACACACACACACACACAAACACACACACACACACACAAACACACACACACACACACACACAGAGACACACACACACACATAGACACAGACACACACACACACAGAGACACACACACACAGACATACACACACAGAGACACACACAGACACACGCATAGACACACACATACACACACAGACACACACTCCGCAGCCTTGACCCGAGGCCGTTGTGTCAAAGGAGCAAAGGGACAACTTTCTGAAAGCCCAATGTTCTGACGCACAATAGCTTTGCAGTCAGAAACATAAACGTGTGTTTCTGACTGAGATTATGTTAAAGCACTGTTTTTAATTCATGTCAGTTATTTTTATTTTTGACTAGTTTTGTATCACAGCAGTAGTTTCTCTGAGGACTTTACAAACTGTCAAACACAGAGAATAAACCGTCAGCACTGTCTCAAACTAATAAACAATTAATAAATACAAAAATTAAGATTTACAGATTGAGAAAAGGCTCGACTCCAGGACACTGGGTTTTATGACTGCACTGATCCAACAGGTGGTTCTGTCACTGATCCAACAGGTGGTTCTGTCACTGATCCAACAGGTGGTTCTGTCACTGATCCAACAGGTGGTTCTGTCACTGATCCAACAGGTGGTTCTGTCACTGATCCAACAGGTGGTTCTGTCACTGATCCAACAGGTGGTTCTGTCACTGATCCAACAGGTGGTTCTGTCACTGATCCAACAGGTGGTTCTGTCACTGATCCAACAAGTGGTTCTAGATAAACAGCGGTCTAGACTTTAGAACATTTAAAAACAAACCCCAGATGTGACGGGGGTAATGTGTTCTCTTTTTACTCAGTCTGTAAATGAGCAGCTGCGATTCTGGACCTGTGCGTTTAGGTCCAGACCACACTGCAACGATCCAACCTTTCAGAAATAAAAAGGCAAATTTCCCACGCTCAAAAAGAACCTTGACTTTTGAAATCTGAGCTGTAGACGACAGAATCACGAAGTCAATACACGTTTCATATTCTTGCATTTTGACACACGGCTCAACCTTGCCTTTGTCGCTCATTCAATCATCTCTAACTGAAAAAAAAACCCTCTGCCGTCGAGATCTGAGACTCACCCGCTCCTGAAAGCATTCAATCAACAACCTTCCAGACTCTTCCATCGCAGCGTTTCTTCCGCGGCGCCTTAAGTCAGTGTCAAGCGTCCAGCCCAGTGTGGCGCTCTTAACTCCCGGAGCCTGTGATCATCTGGGCATGAAGTGGCAGAAGATTGCTGCATTATGTCGTCCAATTTGTCCGAGGAGCCTGAGCCGAGCAAAGGTGAAAAATGGAACGCCGCGGCAATCACAGCAATCAGTGCGGGTCAGCGGACGCTAATGAGTGGCGGCCATTTTGAGGACTTCATTAGCGACACATAGCAGGGAGGAATAGATGACAGTGGTCTGGTGTTATTGGCTAAACGGGAGCGCAAATATACACAGACATCGATCAGGCCGGAGGACGTGCGGCCGCCATGTTGTTTACTCAGCGCCGCCATAGCTTCATTTCAATGCATGGTTTCTGCGGGCGACCTTGGGGAATGGCCGTGGCTTCTGTGTGTCTGTAAATGTTCTGTGTGTGTCTGTAAATGTGTGTGTGTGTGTGGCTTTGAAAGGTTTGGAAAGTATGTAGCAATGGCTTCTTTGATGCAATCTGTTTGGCCTTAAAGTAGAAAAGCAGAAGCCTCGATTGAGCGTTAAGTGGAAGACACGTATGGTTTGGAGCGTAGTTGTCTGTGCACACTGGAGACTTTTTGCTAATGTATTCCAATGTGGGTTTTTTTACTGCAAATGGCAAATAAATAAACTGAACTGAACTGAACTGAACTATAGTCTGAGTCCAACAGATGTTAGGGATCAATGTCACACATGTCCAGAGTCATCAGCACAGAACATGTCGTTAAAACCCTCGGGCTGGATGGTCCGTGTACGTCTGGATGTGAGGCAGAAACTCTTCAAGGAGCTCTTTCTACTCAGTTTGTTTCTGTACAGCCCTGATTCACAACAAGAGGACTTTACTAAATAGTTTCGCCAACAACAGAAAACACAGGGATAAAAGCAAAAGGAGACATTGGTCCATAGCGTAGAGGTGTGTCCAGTGCATAGACCCTCCCACATCGATAATGGACATTTAGATGAGGAAACAAATCCATGCCAACAATGTGCATATTCTATATTTAGTGTCTGGAGAAACCTTGTTGAGAGGCAACAAAAGGAGGCGTGGATTCAGAATTCCAATCATGGAAATGCATAATGTAAATTATCCGGCTGTATATGAAGCTCTTCTCTTCTTCATCTCTGTAGAATTGAACAGTTGGTGTCAGATTGGCCTCTTACTTCATCAACTCCCTCTCGTTAAAAAGCTACAATTTACCGTAATGAGCACATAGTGAGCCGGGGAAGTGGGAAATCCTTACGAACAAACAAGAACCCATTTCATATTAAAGTGACAGAATTAGATGCTTTTGTTGTTGATGTTTATGACATTACTGAGAACAACGACATGTGAAGTCTTTGAGCGTCTGAAAAGCTCTGTACATAAAACCAGTGCATTATTTGTATTGTGCCGCAGTCTACATGTGGCAGGTCTGTGGTTCCCGGGCCTCAGCGTGACAGCCCTGTGTATTCACACCTATGCACTCATAATGAATAATACTTATGTCAGAAAGACTCTTGCACTAAAGCGTCAAAAACAGAGTTGAAAAGCAGCTCTTCAAGGACAAGTTGGAAACACAATGGACGGTTATTATTGTGGAGTTTATCATTTCCGAGCGGGTTTTTGCTACTTTTCTCTTCGACCTTGAGTGGTGCTGTCGTTCTGCATACTATAGTCTTTCTTTTAACACATGCAGTTTGTCTGGGAACAGAACGAGAGGAGAGTGGATCTCAGGGACGAGCTTAAAAAGTCTGAAGTCTTAAGTAAGTCATCACATATAAGAGCTTAGACGACACATAAAGACAGAGTCCAGCGGCAAAGTTATTTTATGATATGAATGTTCCTTCAGTTCCATGGCTCAGTGAAGACGTGAGTTTTATTATAATTAGAATTCCACCAATGACAAAAGAAAAGTGGTTCTTAAAGCGGCCGGACTAAAAGAATCAAGCCTCTGTTTGTTACCGAGCCTTTTGTAGAGCAGTCTCTCTGCTCCCACTGACGTCTGCTGTCGCTGTGTCCCTGGGCAAGATACTTAACCCCACATTGCCCGAAGCCCCCGCTGAAAGACCAAGGCTGTATCTTTGTGGAAGCAGCAGCTTCTCCCCGTGACCCACCTCCTGCTGCAGGATCAGGGGCCGGTGCAGCTCTGATCGGCACTTTACAGCCGCCCCACTGTGGTGTGATGTGTCTCCCATCACAGCACTAACCAGGCCCTGCCCTGCTTACCATCTGATACAATAAAGAAAGGATGAGGTCTGATTTGTTTTAACTCTTACAGGATCCCAGAGAGAGTGTATATTTGTCTTGTTTGCCGCTGTGTGTGACTCAGTTTCTCCGACGCTCTGGACTCGGCTCTGGCTCTTATTCCATTGCTGTTCTTTTTCTTTTTTCTTGCTAATCTTCCCGCCTGTGGCTAAGCTTATTAAGCCTCTTGATAACAATTAAATCCTGAGACCTTTTGCTTATCAGCTCGTCCTATTGGCCCCGCAAATTACTGCCACCACATTTTTCACCAGGACTCAACTTTCTGGTATAATTACAGCTATATTTCAGAGAGTTCTGCCGCTGATAAAACACACAACGTGCAATCATCGCAAAACCTTCTTCTGTCTGAGGCAGCGAGGGGTCTGGGTTTGTTGGTTTGATACTTTGTCTCAGAGCAAGAGAAGAACAAATGAACAGGAGATGTCCATTAACTCTGATCTCTCTCTCTGTCTCTCTCTCTCTCTCTCTCTCTCTGTCTCTCTCTCTCTGTCTCTCTCTCTCTCTCTGGTCTCTCTCTCTCTCTGGTCTCTCTCTCTCTGGTCTCTCTCCCTCTGTCTCTCTCTGGTCTCTCTCACTCTGTCTCTCTCTCTCTCTGGTCTCTCTCTCTGTCTCTCTCTCTCTGGTCTCTCTCTCTGTCTCTCTCTCTCTGGTCTCTCTCACTCTCTCTCTCTGTCTCTCTCTCTCTCTGGTCTCTCTCTCTCTCACTCTCTCTCTCTCTCTCTCTGGTCTCTCTCTCTCTCTCAGTCGTATAGACGTAAGAACTGATGCTTTATTTCCTCATTCCAAGGGAGACATTTCTGTATCTGTTTAAAACCAGATCCTTTTCCTTTGTTGTTGATGTAAGATACATTTAGACACATTTAGAAATTGTTATCTTATTGTTCATCACTTATTGCAGTGTTTGACATAATGTTGTGAAGCTACTGAAAGTAAAGTCGGTCTAAACTCAGAGAGAGAGAGAGAGAGAGAGAGAGACCGCAGACAGATGTGAACAAAGGGACTTTAGGTTAAGCTTCTGGTCATCAGTCAATCGCTCGAGCGTTTAAAGTTTAAAGTACGATCTCTGTAGAAGTCTGTGGCAGAGAGAGAGAGCTGTGGCAGAGAGAGAGAGCTGTGGCAGAGAGAGAGAGCTGTGGCAGAGAGAGAGAGCTGTGGCAGAGAGAGAGAGCTGTGGTCGAGTGAAAGACTTATTCTGATCATGTCCGAGAGAAAAGGGCGAAGGAAGTGACCTGTGATGGAGAAAGGACCAGGAGCAGTTATGTATTTATACAGACACAGGCTGTGGTTAAAACAGTCCATCACAGAGGACTCATTTATTTGTCATATGCAGCAAAACCACAGTGGAATACATTTACAAAAGTCCTCTGGTCTCTCGCTGGTCTCTCTGGTCTCTCTGGTCTCTCTCTGGTCTCTCTCTCTTTGGTCTCTCTGGTCTCTCTCTGGTCTCTCTCTCGGGTCTCTCTCTCTGGTCTCTCTCTGGTCTCCCTCTGGTCTCCCTCTCGGGTCTCTCTCTCTGGTCTCTCTCTGGTCTCCCTCTGGTCTCCCTCTGGTCTCTCTCTCGGGTCTCTCTCTCTGGTCTCTCTCTCTGGTCTCTCTCTCTGGTCTCTCTCTGGTCTCTCTCTCTGGTCTCTCTCTGGTCTCTCTCTCTGGTCTCTCTCTGGTCTCTCTCTGGTCTCTCTCTCTGGTCTCTCTCTCTGGTCTCTCTCTGGTCTCTCTCTCAGGTCTCTCTCCTGGTTTTATTCCTTGTTTTGTCGTTAATGATTTGAGAATCATAACGAGACCTTTTTTAGTTCTGTGCCACATGGTACTTTACCAGTGAGATTAGCTCCACGCGGTGAGTTCTGGCGCCCGGATCACAGACTTTCTGATTGGTGAAACGGTGGAGGGCGGGACATCGAAATGAAAACAATAACAAGATTTAGAGGCTGGAAAAGTAATTTAGAAATTCAAATATCTCTGAACTACTGTTATCAGTTAAAGAAGTATTGGAAAAGAGCGTTTTATTATTATGACAGATAAGGGCCCTTTAAAAATGACAGATTAGGGCCCTTTAATGACGACAGATTAGGGCCCTTTAATGAGGACAGATTAGGGCCCTTTAATGATGACAGATTAGGGCCCTTTAATGATGACAGATTAGGGCCCTTTAATGATGATAGATTAGGGCCCTTTAATGATGACAGATTAGGGCCCTTTAATGATGACAGATTAGGGCCCTTTAATGATGATAGATTAGGGCCCTTTAATGATGACAAATTAGGGCCCTTTAATGATGACAGATTAGGGCCCTTTAATGATGACAGATTAGGGCCCTTTAATGATGATAGATTAGGGCCCTTTAATGATGACAGATTAGGGCCCTTTAATGATGACAGATTAGGGCCCTTTAATGATGACAGATTAGGGCCCTTTAATGATGACAGATTAGGGCCCTTTAATGATGACAGATTAGGGACCTTTAATGATGACAGATTAGGGCCCTTTAATGATGACAGATTAGGGCCCTTTAATGATGATAGATTAGGGCCCTTTAATGATGACAGATTAGGGCCCTTTAATGATGACAGATTAGGGACCTTTAATGATGACAGATTAGGGACCTTTAATGATGACAGATTAGGGACCTTTAATGATGACAGATTAGGGCCCTTTAATGATGACAGATTAGGGCCCTTTAATGATGATAGATTAGGGCCCTTTAATGAGGACAGATTAGGGCCCTTTAATGATGACAGATTAAGGCCCTTTAATGATGACAGATTAGGGCCCTTTAATGATGACAGATTAGGGCCCTTTAATGATGACAGATTAGGGCCCTTTAATGATGACAGATTAGGGCCCTTTAATGATGACAGATTAGGGACCCTTTAATGATGACAGATTAGGGCCCTTTAATGATGACAGATTAGGGCCCTTTAATGATGACAGATTAGGGCCCTTTAATGATGACAGATTAGGGCCCTTTAATGATGACAGATTAGGGCCCTTTAATGAGGACAGATTAGGGCCCTTTAATGATGACAGATTAGGGCCCTTTAATGATGACAGATTAGGGCCCTTTAATGATGACAGATTAGGGCCCTTTAATGATGACAGATTAGGGCCCTTTAATGATGACAGATTAGGGCCCTTTAATGATGACAGATTAGGGCCCTTTAATGATGACAGATTAGGACCCTTTAATTATGACAGATTAGGGCCCTTTAATGATGACAGATTAGGGCCCTTTAATGATGACAGATTAGGGCCCTTTAATGATGACAGATTAGGGCCCTTTAATGATGACAGATTAGGACCCTTTAATGATGACAGATTAGGGCCCTTTAATGATGACAGATTAGGGCCCTTTAATGATGACTGGACATGAAAACCTTGCTTTAAATGTAAATCTATTGCTACTAGTTTTTTAAATGTTGTTTCTAGAGAGTCCAAGGGCCAGAGCTGATGTGAGTGGATCCTGGGAACACTGTGAGGACAAAGGGTAAAATGAGACAAAATGGCGCTCGATCCCACCTTAAATAACTGAGGATTCCACACTTAACCGTCTCCTCGTGCGGATGAGAAGAATCTGTGAGTTCATAACCGCTGATAATCCCCGTGGGTGAGAAGGAGAAGGCTGCGGTGGCTTTGGGCTTTGTTCGAGTGCGTAGAAAAGGTGGAGACGCTGATAAGAAAAACAGAATGGCTCTGAAATGACTTCATATTAACACGTCCTCTGCCCCTGAAGCGCGGCGGCGGCGGCGGCGGCGGCGGCGGCGGCGACGTGTGGACCCGCCATGAACCTTTCCACCAGAAAACACAGACCACTTCTTTGTTTTAGAGACGAAGGAAAGTCTCTGTCTGAGGTAAAAAGGTGTAAGAAGAAACCCCAGAGCTGAGGCGCCGCTCTGAAGCAAAATGAGAAATATTTCTGACAAACTGATTTTATGAAATGTTGACGAACGAATGAGACTCAGAAACTCGCTTCATCGCTCACCGGGACAAAAACAGGCCGTTAGCCAAACCGGTTATTAGCGCTTCCTTGGCAAAGACCAGTGAATATATTTGTTTTCATCACGGCTAAGCTTGAATAAATTAATGGATTATTAAATCTTCACAAGGCTTCCATCTCGCAGCCATATGTTGATCCTCGTTTGAAGAGCGCTGAGTTTGTTTTTAAGAGTTTTTAAGGTAAAAATATTGTTAGAATCCGAGTTTCACAAACACTTTTCATGGTTACATCAAAGGTCACTATTAGATTAAAACACATGTAGCCGTTCTATTCTGAGTAATTATCCAGTTTTCCATTGTTTGCAGCTGGGAACACCCTTTAAGTCTCCAACCTGTGGCTCAGGAGCTAACAGTAGCTCACCAGCCCATTTCAGGTAGCTCCCCAAAGGATTTAGTATTTAACAAATGATCTTGAATGAATACATTTGGAGTCACTACATATCTATTATTAGTATAAATATGGGGTTATACAGAAGAGTATTTTTTCCTTGTGTTTTCCATGTTTTGTCCAAATTATTAGATATAGATGTAAAAAGGAGTAGCTCTCTGCCTCTGCTGTTGTGTGAAAGTAGCTCTCCAAAAGAAACAGGTTGGAGCTTCCCACAAAGAGCTACTTTCAGAACAAAAAAGACAGAGTTTCTCCTTTAGGCCGCTCAGAATAAATCAATACTGTAGAATCATCTCGTTGGATTCACTGTAAACCATCCATTTTCTTCCACTTCATCCGTTGCCGGGTCATCAGGGCAGCAGTCTAAGCAGAGACGCTCAGACTTCCCTCTCCACAGACACCTCCTCCAGCTCATCTGACCCCGAGGCGTTCCCAGAGAGAGACATAGTCCCTCTGTGTCCTGGTCTCCTCCTGGTCTCCTCCTGGTCTCCTCCCTCTGTGTCCTGGGTCTCCTCCTGGTCTCCTCCCTCTGTGTCCTGGGTCTCCTCCTGGTCTCCTCCCTCTGTGTCCTGGGTCTCCTCCTGGTCTCCTCCCTCTGTGTCCTGGGTCTCCTCCTGGTCTCCTCCCTCTGTGTCCTGGTCTCCTCCTGGTCTCCTCCCTCTGTGTCCTGGGTCTCCTCCTGGTCTCCTCCCTCTGTGTCCTGGTCTCCTCCTGGTCTCCTCCCTCTGTGTCCTGGGTCTCCTCCTGGTCTCCTCCCTCTGTGTCCTGGTCTCCTCCTGGTCTCCTCCCTCTGTGTCCTGGGTCTCCTCCTGGTCTCCTCCCTCTGTGTCCTGGGTCTCCTCCAGGTCTCCTCCCTCTGTGTCCTGGTCTCCTCCTGGTCTCCTCCCTCTGTGTCCTGGGTCTCCTCCTGGTCTCCTCCCTCTGTGTCCTGGTCTCCTCCCTCTGTGTCCTGGTCTCCTCCCTCTGTGTCCTGGGTCTCCTCCTGGTCTCCTCCCTCTGTGTCCTGGGTCTCCTCCTGGTCTCCTGTCTCTGTGCCCTGGGTCTCCTCCTGGTCTCCTGTCTCTGTGCCCTGGGTCTCCTCCTGGTCTCCTGTCTCTGTGCCCTGGGTCTCCTCCTGGTCTCCTGTCTCTGTGTCCTGGGTCTCCTCCTGGTCTCCTCCCTCTGTGTCCTGGGTCTCCTCCTGGTCTCCTCCCTCTGTGTCCTGGTCTCCTCCTGGTCTCCTCCCTCTGTGTCCTGGGTCTCCTCCTGGTCTCCTCCCTCTGTGTCCTGGTCTCCTCCTGGTCTCCTCCCTCGTTGTCCTGGGTCTCCTCCTGGTCTCCTCCCTCTGTGTCCTGGTCTCCTCCTGGTCTCCTCCCTCTGTGTCCTGGGTCTCCTCCTGGTCTCCTCCCTCTGTGTCCTGGGTCTCCTCCTGGTCTCCTCCCTCTGTGTCCTGGGTCTCCTCCTGGTCTCCTCCCTCTGTGTCCTGGGTCTCCTCCTGGTCTCCTCCCTCTGTGTCCTGGGTCTCCTCCTGGTCTCCTCCCTCTGTGTCCTGGTCTCCTCCTGGTCTCCTCCTCTTGTCCTGGTCTCCTCCTCGTGTCCTGGTCTCCTCCTGGTCTCCTCCCTCTGTGTCCTGGGTCTCCTCCTGGTCTCCTCCCTCTGTGTCCTGGGTCTCCTCCTGGTCTCCTCCCTCTGTGTCCTGGGTCTCCTCCTGGTCTCCTCCTCTGTGCCTGGTCTCCTCCTGGTGTCTGGTCTCCTCCTGGTCTCCTCCCTCTGTGTCCTGGGTCTCCTCCTGGTCTCCTCCCTCTGTGTCCTGGTCTCCTCCTGGTCTCCTCCCTCTGTGTCCTGGGTCTCCTCCTGGTCTCCTCCCTCTGTGTCCTGGGTCCCTCCTGGTCTCCTCCCTCTGTGTCCTGGTCTCCTCCTGGTCTCCTCCCTCTGTGTCCTGGGTCTCCTCCTGGTCTCCTCTCTGTGTCCTGGTCCTCCTCTGTGTCCTGGGTCTCCTCCTGGTCTCCTGTCTCTGTGCCCTGGGTCTCCTCCTGGTCTCCTGTCTCTGTGCCCTGGGTCTCCTCCTGGTCTCCTGTCTCTGTGCCCTGGGTCTCCTCCTGGTCTCCTGTCTCTGTGTCCTGGGTCTCCTCCTGGTCTCCGTCCTCTGTGTCCTGGGTCTCCTCCTGGTCTCCTCCCTCTGTGTCCTGGGTCTCCTCCTGGTCTCCTCCCTCTGTGTCCTGGTCTCCTCCTGGTCTCCTCCCTCTGTGTCCTGGGTCTCCTCCTGGTCTCCTCCCTCTGTGTCCTGGTCTCCTCCTGGTCTCCTCCCTCTGTGTCCTGGGTCTCCTCCTGGTCTCCTCCCTCTGTGTCCTGGTCTCCTCCTGGTCTCCTCCTCTGTGTCCTGGGTCTCCTCCTGGTCTCCTCCCTCTGTGTCCTGGGTCTCCTCCTGGTCTCCTGTCTCTGTGCCCTGGGTCTCCTCCTGGTCTCCTGTCTCTGTGCCCTGGGTCTCCTCCTGGTCTCCTGTCTCTGTGCCCTGGGTCTCCTCCTGGTCTCCTGTCTCTGTGCCCTGGGTCTCCTCCTGGTCTCCTGTCTCTGTGCCCTGGGTCTCCTCCTGGTCTCCTGTCTCTGTGCCCTGGGTCTCCTCCTGGTCTCCTGTCTCTGTGTCCTGGGTCTCCTCCTGGTCTCCTCCCTCTGTGTCCTGGTCTCCTCCTGGTCTCCTCCCTCTGTGTCCTGGTCTCCTCCTGGTCTCCTCCCTCTGTGTTCCTGGGTCTCCTCCTGGTCTCCTCCCTCTGTGTCCTGGGTCTCCTCCTGGTCTCCTCCCTCTGTGTCCTGGGTCTCCTCCTGGTCTCCTCCCTCTGTCTGTCCCCGGTCCTCCTCCTGGTCTCCTCCTCTGTGTGCCTGGGTCTCCTCCTGGTCTCCTCCCTCTGTGCCTGGGTCTCCTCCTGGTCTCCTGTCTCTGTGCCCTGGGTCTCCTCCTGGTCTCCTGTCTCTGTGCCCTGGGTCTCCTCCTGGTCTCCTGTCTCTGTGCCTGGGTCTCCTCCTGGTCTCCTCCCTCTGTGTCCTGGGTCTCCTCCTGGTCTCCTGTCTCTGTGCCCTGGGTCTCCTCCTGGTCTCCTGTCTCTGTGTCCTGGGTCTCCTCCTGGTCTCCTCCTCTGTGTCCTGGTCTCCTCCTGGTCTCCTCCCTCTGTGTCCTGGGTCTCCTCCTGGTCTCCTGTCTCTGTGCCCTGGGTCTCCTCCTGGTCTCCTGTCTCTGTGCCCTGGGTCTCCTCCTGGTCTCCTGTCTCTGTGCCCTGGGTCTCCTCCTGGTCTCCTCCCTCTGTGTCCTGGGTCTCCTCCTGGTCTCCTGTCTCTGTGTCCTGGGTCTCCTCCTGGTCTCCTCCTCTGTGTCCTGGGTCTCCTCCTGGTCTCCTCCCTCTGTGTCCTGGTCTCCTCCTGGTCTCCTCCCTCTGTGTCCTGGTCTCCTCCTGGTCTCCTCCCTCTGTGTCCTGGGTCTCCTCCTGGTCTCCTCCCTCTGTGTCCTGGTCTCCTCCCTCTGTGTCCTGGTCTCCTCCTGGTCTCCTCCCTCTGTGTCCTGGTCTCCTCCTGGTCTCCTCCCTCTGTGTCCTGGGTCTCCTCCTGGTCTCCTGTCTCCTCCCTGGTTCCTCTCGGCGTGGGGAAGCAGCGGCTCTACCCCGAGCTCCTCCCGTGTGTCTGAGTTCCTAGCCCTATCTCTGAGGTAATAACTATGAACTGTGCTATACAAAAAAACTTATAATTCCAACTGTTATACATCTTTAATGCAACTTTAAAGATTTAAAACAGCACATTTATTGAAATGGGTGAATCTTTGAATAATCCTTTGGGGAGCTACTTGGAGGAGGGCGGCGAGCTACAGAGAGCTTTGATTGTGCAGTTTGTCATTATGGGTATAATGTGTGGACTTGACCTGAATGTAATGAGATTGACTTTACAGAACTCATCGAAAGGCTCAGCTCTGATAAAACATGTTTCCATGGCAACTGGAGTCGGTGAAATGAACCTGACCATGACCGGCGTGAGGCTAACGCTAACCCACAGACTGTAGCCCGGCGTGAGGCTAACGCTAACCCACAGACTGTAGACCGGCGTGAGGCTAACGCTAACCCACAGACTGTAGACCGGCGTGAGGCTAACGCTAACCCACAGACTGTAGACCGGCGTGAGGCTAACGCTAACCCACAGACTGTAGACCGGCGTGAGGCTAACGCTAACCCACAGACTGTAGACCGGCGTGAGGCTAACGCTAACCCACAGACTGTAGACCGGCGTGAGGCTAACGCTAACCCACAGACTGTAGACCGGCGTGAGGCTAACGCTAACCCACAGACTGTAGACCGGCGTGAGGCTAACGCTAACCCACAGACTGTAGACCGGCGTGAGGCTAACGCTAACCCACAGACTGTAGACCGGCGTGAGGCTAACGCTAACCCACAGACTGTAGACCGGCGTGAGGCTAACGCTAACCCACAGACTGTAGACCGGCGTGAGGCTAACGCTAACCCACAGACTGTAGACCGGCGTGAGGCTAACGCTAACCCACAGACTGTAGACCGGCGTGAGGCTAACGCTAACCCACAGACTGTAGACCGGCGTGAGGCTAACGCTAACCCACAGACTGTAGACCGGCGTGAGGCTAACGCTAACCCACAGACTGTAGACCGGCGTGAGGCTAACGCTAACCCACAGACTGTAGACCGGCGTGAGGCTAACGCTAACCCACAGACTGTAGACCGGCGTGAGGCTAACGCTAACCCACAGACTGTAGACCGGCGTGAGGCTAACGCTAACCCACAGACTGTAGACCGGCGTGAGGCTAACGCTAACCCACAGACTGTAGACCGGCGTGAGGCTAACGCTAACCCACAGACTGTAGACCGGCGTGAGGCTAACGCTAACCCACAGACTGTAGACCGGCGTGAGGCTAACGCTAACCCACAGACTGTAGACCGGCGTGAGGCTAACGCTAACCCACAGACTGTAGACCGGCGTGAGGCTAACGCTAACCCACAGACTGTAGACCGGCGTGAGGCTAACGCTAACCCACAGACTGTAGACCGGCGTGAGGCTAACGCTAACCCACAGACTGTAGACCGGCGTGAGGCTAACGCTAACCCACAGACTGTAGACCGGCGTGAGGCTAACGCTAACCCACAGACTGTAGACCGGCGTGAGGCTAACGCTAACCCACAGACTGTAGACCGGCGTGAGGCTAACGCTAACCCACAGACTGTAGACCGGCGTGAGGCTAACGCTAACCCACAGACTGTAGACCGGCGTGAGGCTAACGCTAACCCACAGACTGTAGACCGGCGTGAGGCTAACGCTAACCCACAGACTGTAGACCGGCGTGAGGCTAACGCTAACCCACAGACTGTAGACCGGCGTGAGGCTAACGCTAACCCACAGACTGTAGACCGGCGTGAGGCTAACGCTAACCCACAGACTGTAGACCGGCGTGAGGCTAACGCTAACCCACAGACTGTAGACCGGCGTGAGGCTAACGCTAACCCACAGACTGTAGACCGGCGTGAGGCTAACGCTAACCCACAGACTGTAGACCGGCGTGAGGCTAACGCTAACCCACAGACTGTAGACCGGCGTGAGGCTAACGCTAACCCACAGACTGTAGACCGGCGTGAGGCTAACGCTAACCCACAGACTGTAGACCGGCGTGAGGCTAACGCTAACCCACAGACTGTAGACCGGCGTGAGGCTAACGCTAACCCACAGACTGTAGACCGGCGTGAGGCTAACGCTAACCCACAGACTGTAGACCGGCGTGAGGCTAACGCTAACCCACAGACTGTAGACCGGCGTGAGGCTAACGCTAACCCACAGACTGTAGACCGGCGTGAGGCTAACGCTAACCCACAGACTGTAGACCGGCGTGAGGCTAACGCTAACCCACAGACTGTAGACCGGCGTGAGGCTAACGCTAACCCACAGACTGTAGACCGGCGTGAGGCTAACGCTAACCCACAGACTGTAGACCGGCGTGAGGCTAACGCTAACCCACAGACTGTAGACCGGCGTGAGGCTAACGCTAACCCACAGACTGTAGACCGGCGTGAGGCTAACGCTAACCCACAGACTGTAGACCGGCGTGAGGCTAACGCTAACCCACAGACTGTAGACCGGCGTGAGGCTAACGCTAACCCACAGACTGTAGACCGGCGTGAGGCTAACGCTAACCCACAGACTGTAGACCGGCGTGAGGCTAACGCTAACCCACAGACTGTAGACCGGCGTGAGGCTAACGCTAACCCACAGACTGTAGACCGGCGTGAGGCTAACGCTAACCCACAGACTGTAGACCGGCGTGAGGCTAACGCTAACCCACAGACTGTAGACCGGCGTGAGGCTAACGCTAACCCACAGACTGTAGACCGGCGTGAGGCTAACGCTAACCCACAGACTGTAGACCGGCGTGAGGCTAACGCTAACCCACAGACTGTAGACCGGCGTGAGGCTAACGCTAACCCACAGACTGTAGACCGGCGTGAGGCTAACGCTAACCCACAGACTGTAGACCGGCGTGAGGCTAACGCTAACCCACAGACTGTAGACCGGCGTGAGGCTAACGCTAACCCACAGACTGTAGACCGGCGTGAGGCTAACGCTAACCCACAGACTGTAGACCGGCGTGAGGCTAACGCTAACCCACAGACTGTAGACCGGCGTGAGGCTAACGCTAACCCACAGACTGTAGACCGGCGTGAGGCTAACGCTAACCCACAGACTGTAGACCGGCGTGAGGCTAACGCTAACCCACAGACTGTAGACCGGCGTGAGGCTAACGCTAACCCACAGACTGTAGACCGGCGTGAGGCTAACGCTAACCCACAGACTGTAGACCGGCGTGAGGCTAACGCTAACCCACAGACTGTAGACCGGCGTGAGGCTAACGCTAACCCACAGACTGTAGACCGGCGTGAGGCTAACGCTAACCCACAGACTGTAGACCGGCGTGAGGCTAACGCTAACCCACAGACTGTAGACCGGCGTGAGGCTAACGCTAACCCACAGACTGTAGACCGGCGTGAGGCTAACGCTAACCCACAGACTGTAGACCGGCGTGAGGCTAACGCTAACCCACAGACTGTAGACCGGCGTGAGGCTAACGCTAACCCACAGACTGTAGACCGGCGTGAGGCTAACGCTAACCCACAGACTGTAGACCGGCGTGAGGCTAACGCTAACCCACAGACTGTAGACCGGCGTGAGGCTAACGCTAACCCACAGACTGTAGACCGGCGTGAGGCTAACGCTAACCCACAGACTGTAGACCGGCGTGAGGCTAACGCTAACCCACAGACTGTAGACCGGCGTGAGGCTAACGCTAACCCACAGACTGTAGACCGGCGTGAGGCTAACGCTAACCCACAGACTGTAGACCGGCGTGAGGCTAACGCTAACCCACAGACTGTAGACCGGCGTGAGGCTAACGCTAACCCACAGACTGTAGACCGGCGTGAGGCTAACGCTAACCCACAGACTGTAGACCGGCGTGAGGCTAACGCTAACCCACAGACTGTAGACCGGCGTGAGGCTAACGCTAACCCACAGACTGTAGACCGGCGTGAGGCTAACGCTAACCCACAGACTGTAGACCGGCGTGAGGCTAACGCTAACCCACAGACTGTAGACCGGCGTGAGGCTAACGCTAACCCACAGACTGTAGACCGGCGTGAGGCTAACGCTAACCCACAGACTGTAGACCGGCGTGAGGCTAACGCTAACCCACAGACTGTAGACCGGCGTGAGGCTAACGCTAACCCACAGACTGTAGACCGGCGTGAGGCTAACGCTAACCCACAGACTGTAGACCGGCGTGAGGCTAACGCTAACCCACAGACTGTAGACCGGCGTGAGGCTAACGCTAACCCACAGACTGTAGACCGGCGTGAGGCTAACGCTAACCCACAGACTGTAGACCGGCGTGAGGCTAACGCTAACCCACAGACTGTAGACCGGCGTGAGGCTAACGCTAACCCACAGACTGTAGACCGGCGTGAGGCTAACGCTAACCCACAGACTGTAGACCGGCGTGAGGCTAACGCTAACCCACAGACTGTAGACCGGCGTGAGGCTAACGCTAACCCACAGACTGTAGACCGGCGTGAGGCTAACGCTAACCCACAGACTGTAGACCGGCGTGAGGCTAACGCTAACCCACAGACTGTAGACCGGCGTGAGGCTAACGCTAACCCACAGACTGTAGACCGGCGTGAGGCTAACGCTAACCCACAGACTGTAGACCGGCGTGAGGCTAACGCTAACCCACAGACTGTAGACCGGCGTGAGGCTAACGCTAACCCACAGACTGTAGACCGGCGTGAGGCTAACGCTAACCCACAGACTGTAGACCGGCGTGAGGCTAACGCTAACCCACAGACTGTAGACCGGCGTGAGGCTAACGCTAACCCACAGACTGTAGACCGGCGTGAGGCTAACGCTAACCCACAGACTGTAGACCGGCGTGAGGCTAACGCTAACCCACAGACTGTAGACCGGCGTGAGGCTAACGCTAACCCACAGACTGTAGACCGGCGTGAGGCTAACGCTAACCCACAGACTGTAGACCGGCGTGAGGCTAACGCTAACCCACAGACTGTAGACCGGCGTGAGGCTAACGCTAACCCACAGACTGTAGACCGGCGTGAGGCTAACGCTAACCCACAGACTGTAGACCGGCGTGAGGCTAACGCTAACCCACAGACTGTAGACCGGCGTGAGGCTAACGCTAACCCACAGACTGTAGACCGGCGTGAGGCTAACGCTAACCCACAGACTGTAGACCGGCGTGAGGCTAACGCTAACCCACAGACTGTAGACCGGCGTGAGGCTAACGCTAACCCACAGACTGTAGACCGGCGTGAGGCTAACGCTAACCCACAGACTGTAGACCGGCGTGAGGCTAACGCTAACCCACAGACTGTAGACCGGCGTGAGGCTAACGCTAACCCACAGACTGTAGACCGGCGTGAGGCTAACGCTAACCCACAGACTGTAGACCGGCGTGAGGCTAACGCTAACCCACAGACTGTAGACCGGCGTGAGGCTAACGCTAACCCACAGACTGTAGACCGGCGTGAGGCTAACGCTAACCCACAGACTGTAGACCGGCGTGAGGCTAACGCTAACCCACAGACTGTAGACCGGCGTGAGGCTAACGCTAACCCACAGACTGTAGACCGGCGTGAGGCTAACGCTAACCCACAGACTGTAGACCGGCGTGAGGCTAACGCTAACCCACAGACTGTAGACCGGCGTGAGGCTAACGCTAACCCACAGACTGTAGACCGGCGTGAGGCTAACGCTAACCCACAGACTGTAGACCGGCGTGAGGCTAACGCTAACCCACAGACTGTAGACCGGCGTGAGGCTAACGCTAACCCACAGACTGTAGCCCGGCGTGAGGCTAACGCTAACCCACAGACTGTAGACCGGCGTGAGGCTAACGCTAACCCACAGACTGTAGACCGGCGTGAGGCTAACGCTAACCCACAGACTGTAGACCGGCGTGAGGCTAACGCTAACCCACAGACTGTAGACCGGCGTGAGGCTAACGCTAACCCACAGACTGTAGACCGGCGTGAGGCTAACGCTAACCCACAGACTGTAGACCGGCGTGAGGCTAACGCTAACCCACAGACTGTAGACCGGCGTGAGGCTAACGCTAACCCACAGACTGTAGACCGGCGTGAGGCTAACGCTAACCCACAGACTGTAGACCGGCGTGAGGCTAACGCTAACCCACAGACTGTAGACCGGCGTGAGGCTAACGCTAACCCACAGACTGTAGACCGGCGTGAGGCTAACGCTAACCCACAGACTGTAGACCGGCGTGAGGCTAACGCTAACCCACAGACTGTAGACCGGCGTGAGGCTAACGCTAACCCACAGACTGTAGACCGGCGTGAGGCTAACGCTAACCCACAGACTGTAGACCGGCGTGAGGCTAACGCTAACCCACAGACTGTAGACCGGCGTGAGGCTAACGCTAACCCACAGACTGTAGCCCGGCGTGAGGCTAACGCTAACCCACAGACTGTAGACCGGCGTGAGGCTAACGCTAACCCCACAGACTGTAGCCCGGCGTGAGGCTAACGCTAACCCACAGACTGTAGACCGGCGTGAGGCTAACGCTAACCCACAGACTGTAGACCGGCGTGAGGCTAACGCTAACCCACAGACTGTAGCCCGGCGTGAGGCTAACGCTAACCCACAGACTGTAGACCGGCGTGAGGCTAACGCTAACCCACAGACTGTAGACCGGCGTGAGGCTAACGCTAACCCACAGACTGTAGACCGGCGTGAGCCGCTAACGCTAACCCACAGACTGTAGACCGGCGTGAGGCTAACGCTAACCCACAGACTGTAGACCGGCGTGAGGCTAACGCTAACCCACAGACTGTAGACCGGCGTGAGGCTAACGCTAACCCACAGACTGTAGACCGGCGTGAGGCTAACGCTAACCCACAGACTGTAGACCGGCGTGAGGCTAACGCTAACCCACAGACTGTAGACCGGCGTGAGGCTAACGCTAACCCACAGACTGTAGACCGGCGTGAGGCTAACGCTAACCCACAGACTGTAGCCCGGCGTGAGGCTAACGCTAACCCACAGACTGTAGACCGGCGTGAGGCTAACGCTAACCCACAGACTGTAGACCGGCGTGAGGCTAACGCTAACCCACAGACTGTAGACCGGCGTGAGGCTAACGCTAACCCACAGACTGTAGCCCGGCGTGAGGCTAACGCTAACCCACAGACTGTAGACCGGCGTGAGGCTAACGCTAACCCACAGACTGTAGACCGGCGTGAGGCTAACGCTAACCCACAGACTGTAGACCGGCGTGAGGCTAACGCTAACCCACAGACTGTAGACCGGCGTGAGGCTAACGCTAACCCACAGACTGTAGACCGGCGTGAGGCTAACGCTAACCCACAGACTGTAGACCGGCGTGAGGCTAACGCTAACCCACAGACTGTAGCCCGGCGTGAGGCTAACGCTAACCCACAGACTGTAGACCGGCGTGAGGCTAACGCTAACCCACAGACTGTAGACCGGCGTGAGGCTAACGCTAACCCACAGACTGTAGACCGGCGTGAGGCTAACGCTAACCCACAGACTGTAGAGAGATGGACCATGCTAACCTCGCTAGCTCAATGAGGTCCAGTCGGAAAAGTTCAGTTCCAACTTTCTCTGGATTAGAAACAAAAACTGCTCCATCTCAGAAAGCGTCTGTGTCACACCAGTCTGGGCTTTAAACATGGTTTTATGCTCTGTGTTTATTTTGTGATATTGTCTTTGTAAAACTGGATATGGGCCCTCACGAGTGACCAATCAGGAGGCTTCTGACGCCACATTCAGGCTAAAGCTAGCACGGTAGGGACAGACCAGACACTCCTGGTTTTTGCTTAGTAACTGGATCGTTGCTTAAATATATCTGGTTTGAACTCACTCACACCATGGGAGATGTCAGCCCCTGGTCTGTCCTCTCCTGGTACATCCTCTCCTGCTCCTCTCCTGGTACGTCCTCGCCTGCTCCTCTCCTGGTCTGTCCTCTTCTGCTCCTCTCCTGGTCTGTCCTCTCCTGGTACATCCTCTCCTGCTCCTCTCCTGGTACATCCTCTCCTGCTCCTCTCCTGGTACGTCCTCGCCTGCTCCTCTCCTGGTCTGTCCTCTTCTGCTCCTCTCCTGGTCTGTCCTCTCCTGGTACATCCTCTCCTGCTCCTCTCCTGGTACGTCCTCGCCTGCTCCTCTCCTGGTCTGTCCTCTTCTGCTCCTCTCCTGGTCTGTCCTCTCCTGGTACATCCTCTCCTGCTCCTCTCCTGGTACATCCTCTCCTGCTCCTCTCCTGGTACGTCCTCTCCTGCTCCTCTCCTGGTACGTCCTCTCCTGGTACGTCCTCTCCTGCTCCTCTCCTGGTACGTCCTCTCCTGCTCCTCTCCTGGTACATCCTCTCCTGCTCCTCTCCTGGTACGTCCTCTTCTGCTCCTCTCCTGGTCTGTCCTCTCCTGGTACATCCTCTCCTGCTCCTCTCCTGGTACATCCTCTCCTGCTCCTCTCCTGGTACATCCTCTCCTGGTACATCCTCTCCTGCTCCTCTCCTGGTACGTCCTCGCCTGCTCCTCTCCTGGTCTGTCCTCTTCTGCTCCTCTCCTGGTCTGTCCTCTCCTGGTACATCCTCTCCTGCTCCTCTCCTGGTACGTCCTCTCCTGCTCCTCTCCTGGTACGTCCTCTCCTGGTACGTCCTCTTCTGCTCCTCTCCTGGTCTGTCCTCTCCTGGTACGTCCTCGCCTGCTCCTCTCCTGGTACGTCCTCTCCTGGTACGTCCTCTCCTGCTCCTCTCCTGGTACGTCCTCTCCTTGTACGTCCTCTCCTGCTCCTCTCCTGGTCTGTCCTCTCCTGGTACGTCCTCTCCTGCTCCTCTCCTGGTACGTCCTCTCCTGGTACGTCCTCGCCTGCTCCTCTCCTGGTCTGTCCTCTTCTGCTCCTCTCCTGGTCTGTCCTCTCCTGGTCCGTCCTCTCCTGGTACATCCTCTCCTGGTACATCCTCTCCTGCTCCTGGTCTGTCCTCTCCTGGTACATCCTCTCCTGCTCCTCTCCTGGTACGTCCTCTCCTGGTCTCTGTCCTCTCCTGGTCTGTCCTCTCCTGCTCCTCTTCTGGTACGTCCTCTCCTGCTTCTCTCCTGGTACGTCCTCGCCTGCTCCTCTCCTGGTCTGTCCTCTCCTGGTACATCCTCTCCTGCTCCTCTCCTGGTACGTCCTCTCCTGGTCTGTCCTCTCCTGCTCCTCTTCTGGTACGTCCTCTCCTGCTTCTCTCCTGGTACGTCCTCGCCTGCTCCTCTCCTGGTCTGTCCTCTCCTGGTACATCCTCTCCTGCTCCTCTCCTGGTACGTCCTCTCCTGGTCTGTCCTCTCCTGGTCTGTCCTCTCCTGCTCCTCTTCTGGTACGTCCTCTCCTGCTTCTCTCCTGGTACGTCCTCGCCTGCTCCTCTCCTGGTCTGTCCTCTCCTGGTACATCCTCTCCTGCTCCTCTCCTGGTACGTCCTCTCCTGGTCTGTCCTCTCCTGGTCTGTCCTCTCCTGCTCCTCTTCTGGTACGTCCTCTCCTGCTTCTCTCCTGGTACGTCCTCGCCTGCTCCTCTCCTGGTCTGTCCTCTCCTGGTACATCCTCTCCTGCTCCTCTCCTGGTACGTCCTCTCCTGGTCTCTCCTGCTCCTGGTCTGTCCTCTCCTGCTCCTCTTCTGGTACGTCCTCTCCTGCTTCTCTCCTGGTACGTCCTCGCCTGCTCCTCTCCTGGTCTGTCCTCTCCTGGTACATCCTCTCCTGCTCCTCTCCTGGTACGTCCTCCCTCCTCTCGGTCTGTCCTCTCCTGGTCTGTCCTCTCCTGGTCTGTCCTCTCCTGCTCCTCTTCTGGTACGTCCTCTCCTGCTTCTCTCCTGGTACGTCCTCGCCTGCTCCTCTCCTGGTCTGTCCTCTCCTGGTACATCCTCTCCTGCTCCTCTCCTGGTACGTCCTCTCCTGGTCTGTCCTCTCCTGGTCTGTCCTCTCCTGCTCCTCTTCTGGTACGTCCTCTCCTGCTTCTCTCCTGGTACGTCCTCGCCTGCTCCTCTCCTGGTCTGTCCTCTCCTGGTACATCCTCTCCTGCTCCTCTCCTGGTACGTCCTCTCCTGGTCTGTCCTCTCCTGGTCTGTCCTCTCCTGCTCCTCTTCTGGTACGTCCTCTCTGTCTCTCCTGGTACGTCCTCTCTCCTGCTTCTCTCCTGGTACGTCCTCTCCGCCTGCTCCTCTCCTGGTCTGTCCTCTCCTGGTACATCCTCTCCTGCTCCTCTCCTGGTACGTCCTCTCCTGGTCTGTCCTCTCCTGGTCTGTCCTCCTGTACTCCTGCTCCTCTTCTGGTACGTCCTCTCCTGCTTCTCTCCTGGTACGTCCTCGCCTGCTCCTCTCCTGGTCTGTCCTCTCCTGGTACATCCTCTCCTGCTCCTCTCCTGGTACGTCCTCTCCTGGTCTGTCCTCTCCTGGTCTGTCCTCTCCTGCTCCTCTTCTGGTACGTCCTCTCCTGCTTCTCTCCTGGTACGTCCTCGCCTGCTCCTCTCCTGGTCTGTCCTCTCCTGGTACATCCTCTCCTGCTCCTCTCCTGGTATGTCCTCTCCTGGTCTGTCCTCTCCTGGTCCGTCCTCTGGTCTGGTGTGTGTGTGAATGGTTGGTGGTGGGAGGGGCTTCTGTCAGTGTGCCCCAGGGCAGCTGTGGCTACAGCAGTAGTGTATCACTGCTGCAGATGGTTCATTGTGTCCAATGCTTAAAAACAATAGTTCAATTATTAAAGTCTTTCTCTTCAGAATCTCAGACTGAACAGAAAAACACAAATGTAAAATGTTGACACTTTTCCCAGACATCTTTCTCCAACGAACACATCATTCCATAAAGAAAACAGAGATAATCCACCCTCGGGTCTGGAGCGCCACGGTGACATAGTAAAACATGTCATTCATCCAACTTCAGCTCCAGAACAGCTTAGAACAGCCTGAAACCGGTCAAAACAGTTTTTGACCCTCCTAAGGTCTTATTACAACAAACTTTGGACACCCCTGTTTTAGTCAGAAGGTTTGAAGTTCCAGATATTAGTTCAGGATGGATTTAAAAAGAAGTCTGACTTTGATGATGGTAAATGTAACATGGTTAAACTGTAAATAATGTAGCATAATACGTCTCCTTTAAGTTCCTCAACACAAGCATAATACGTCTCCTTTAAGTTCCTCAACACAAGCATAATACGTCTCCTTTAAGTTCCTCAACACAAGCATAATACGTCTCCTTTAAGTTCCTCAACACAAGCATAATACGTCTCCTTTAAGTTCCTCAACACAAGCATAATACGTCTCCTTTAAGTTCCTCAACACAAGCATAATACGTCTCCTTTAAGTTCCTCAACACAAGCATAATACGTCTCCTTTAAGTTCCTCAACACAAGCATAATACGTCTCCTTTAAGTTCCTCAACACAAGCATAATACGTCTCCTTTAAGTTCCTCAACACAAGCATAATACGTCTCCTTTAAGTTCCTCAACACAAGCATAATACGTCTCCTTTAAGTTCCTCAACACAAGCATAATACGTCTCCTTTAAGTTCCTCAACACAAGCATAATACGTCTCCTTTAAGTTCCTCAACACAAGCATAATACGTCTCCTTTAAGTTCCTCAACACAAGCATAATACGTCTCCTTTAAGTTCCTCAACACAAGCATAATACGTCTCCTTTAAGTTCCTCAACACAAGCATAATACGTCTCCTTTAAGTTCCTCAACACAAGCATAATACGTCTCACTTAAGTTCCTCAACACAAGCATAATACGTCTCCTTTAAGTTCCTCAACACAAGCATAATACGTCTCCTTTAAGTTCCTCAACACAAGCATAATACGTCTCCTTTAAGTTCCTCAACACAAGCATAATACGTCTCCTTTAAGTTCCTCAACACAAGCATAATACGTCTCCTTTAAGTTCCTCAACACAAGCATAATACGTCTCCTTTAAGTTCCTCAACACAAGCATAATACGTCTCCTTTAAGTTCCTCAACACAAGCATAATACGTCTCCTTTAAGTTCCTCAACACAAATGTACACACTGTAGCCGCAGCGTTGAAATCCCAAGGTTGCTCCAGTCGCTGTAATGAGGTGACAGTTAGCATTAGCGCTCCTCGCCGCTGACAGTTAGCATTAGCGCTCCTCGCCGCTGACAGTTAGCATTAGCGCTCCTCGCCGCCGCAGACTCAGCCCTCGCCGCTCGCGCATACCTCATAATGACGAATGTTCTGCCGCTCGCACTACATTTGTCTCCGTCAGAGATTCAGAAATGTGCACTTTCAAAAGTCTCCAACTCCACAGAAGTCCACCCCCGAGCTCACAGGGACCGGGCTCACAGGGACCCCGAGCTCACAGGGACCGGGCTCACAGGGACCGGGCTCACAGGGACCCCGAGCTCACAGGGACCGGGCTCACAGGGACCCCGAGCTCACAGGGACCGGGCTCACAGGGACCGGGCTCACAGGGACCGGGCTGCAAATGTCCACCCCCCGAGCTCACAGGGACCCCGAGCTCACAGGGACCCGAGCTCACAGGGACCCGAGCTCACAGGGACCCCAAGCTCACAGGGACCCGAGCTCACAGGGACCCCGAGCTCACAGGGACCGGGCTCACAGGGACCCCGAGCTCACAGGGACCGGGCTCACAGGGACCCCGAGCTCACAGGGACCGGGGCTCACAGGGACCCGAGCTCACAGGGACCCCGAGCTCACAGGGACCGGGCTCACAGGGACCCCGAGCTCACAGGGACCGGGCTCACAGGGACCCCGAGCTCACAGGGACCCCGAGCTCACAGAGACCGGGCTCACAGGGACCCAGAGCTCACAGGGACCGGGCTGCAAATGTCCACCCCCGAGCTCACAGGGACCCCGAGCTCACAGGGACCGGGCTGCAAAGGTATTTTAATTGCCAATGTAAAGTATCATCTCTGGTGTCGCTGCAAATGTGTGAGGGTCTAATACAGGCGTGTCCAACCTCAGGCCCGCGAGCCAATTATGGCCCTCTGTGTCACTTCCTGTGGCCCTCTGCTGCAAACACAAAGTCGCCATTGAGGCACGTTGACTGTATCATCCAACCAACTATTTACTGACATTTGTTTTATGATTGTGTCACAACAGTACAGATAAAATGCAGCTGTGGATCCAAAAGGATTTATCAAAACCATTTTTTCAGTGAGTTCGATCTTTTAAATCCAGGTCAAGTCTGATGAACTATAGTGACCTCTTGTTAAAAGGTTTGGACACCCCTCTTTCTAAGACAATACTTTTCATTCACACACTGCACTTACTTTAAGGTTTATAGGAGGCTTTTCTACTTCCGGGTGGATCTTCAACACTATTGGTCCTCCCAACTGTCAATCATTCTGGTGATACCTGATACATAATAATGATTTACAACACACACACACAGAGACACACACACACACACACAGAGAGACACACTCAGAGAGAGACACACACACACACACACAGAGACACACACGGACACACACACAAAGAGAGAGAGACACACTCAGAGAGACACACACACACACACACACAGAGACACACACGGACACACACACAAAGAGAGAGAGACACACACAGAGAGACACACACGGACACACACAAAGAGATACACACGGACACACACACTCAAAGACACACACACACAGAGAGAGACACACACACAGAGAGAGACACACACACAGAGAGAGACACACACACAGAGAGAGACACACACACACAGAGAGACACACACACACAGAGAGACACACACACACAGAGAGACACACACACACAGAGAGACACACACACACAGAGAGAGACACACACAGGTGAAACACATTAGGGCGGGAGACAATCAATGGACATGAATCTAAACTGAAAAGAACAAATATATCAAACTAAAACCAGGCAAAGTAAAAGCTCCTCTCTCTCTCCCTCAGGTTTCATTTGTCCACACACTCTCTCAAACACACACTCTCTCAAACACACACTCTCTCAAACACACACTCTCTCAAACACACACTCTCTCAAACACACACTCTCTCAAACACACACTCTCTCAAACACACACTCTCTCAAACACACACTCTCTCAAACACACACTCTCTCAAACACACACTCTCTCAAACACACACTCTCTCAAACACACACTCTCTCAAACACACACTCTCTCAAACACACACTCTCTCAAAGTGGAAATGCATCTAAATAAACCAGATTTATACGAGCACAGCCGACGCTTAACCACGGCCAAAGCAAAAGCCAATTATTTATCCTGAGGTTCTTCATTTTGTGCTGTTAAAGTTGCTTTGTGGAGATTAAAATGGAAAAGGCTCTGTGTCTAAATGTACCTGTGTGTCAATATGTACCTGTGTGTCTAAATGTACCTGTGTGTCAATATGTACCTGTGTGTCTAAATGTACCTGTGTGTCAATATGTGCCTGTGTCTCTCTATGTACCTGTGTGTCTAAATGTACCTGTGTGTCTAAATGTACCTGTGTGTCAATATGTGCCTGTGTCTCTCTATGTACCTGTGTGTCTAAATGTACCTGTGTGTCTAAATGTACCTGTGTGTCTAAATGTACCTGTGTGTCAATATGTACCTGTGTGTCTAAATGTACCTGTGTGTCTAAATGTACCTGTGTGTCTAAATGTACCTGTGTGTCTAAATGTACCTGTGTGTCTAAATGTACCTGTGTGTCTAAATGTACCTGTGTGTCTAAATGTACCTGTGTGTCAATATGTACCTGTGTGTCAATATGTACAGTACCTGTGTGTCTAAATGTACCTGTGTGTCAATATGTACCTGTGTGTCTAAATGTACCTGTGTGTCAATATGTACCTGTGTGTCTAAATGTACCTGTGTGTCAATATGTACAGTACCTGTGTGTCTAAATGTACCTGTGTGTCAATATGTACCTGTGTGTTGTGGTGACAGTTTTTGGAGTAATTACATTAAAACCAGCCGCAGCAAATACACGGACGTCAAAGGCCTTTTATCAATGCAGACAACCTTCTGACGCCATGCTGAGCTTTGTGAAGGTCCCTGCTGTCTGTCACACCCCTGTGTCTTTCCGTCTTGCATCTGTATGACCTGCATTTCTACCATTGTCTGTCTGTTCACACCCCATGCCACTGCCACCACAGGGGATGGCGCCAACGCTTCCTGTGCGCCTCCTCACCGGTGGCCCCCTCCGCTCCGTTGTGGGCGTGACTATCTTTGGTGTGTGTCTTGGATACAGGAAGCTGGGGGCTCTGGCCCCCAGAGCTGGGACATGCTGCCTTGGAGTGGATATGCTGACTCTCCGCACTGTGCGTTAACAATAAACTTACGCTTTTGATCAGACAAAGGACCTTTGAGTTTCCTCCTTCATGGGGTATATAATTCTATAACAATTTGGCGTTGCTGGCATGTCTTGGCCTGGATACTTTCGGCGGGGACGAGCGGCTTTGTTTGGCCGACCTGGATCACCAGCCTCTGTTCCTTTTTGGAGACAAAGGAGAGCGCGCTCGTCCGCGCACGGAAGGAATCCTTTTGCCACACAAGACCAAAAAGAACCTAATCTGGTGAGTCTTGTCTTTTCATCTGCGTAACGAGCCCAGGGCAGCCCTTAAGTCGACACGGGGATTTGTTTATTTATGTATTTTTGGGGTATTTCATTCATTGCCACAGCATAGTCTGTGTGCGGGATTTTTTGGGGGCTTTTTGTTCTAGATTGAAACTAGCGGCTGCGCGTTAGTATCGTCCTGTAGGCGACCCTGAAAATTTCTCCACGTGTCTTCAGCCAGAACCGCTCCATTTCAAGAACGCGCGCTCGCTGGTTGAACCAGCGAGGGGGGAATGGAGCGCCCCAAAGTGGGTAGGAGCAGGGAGAGACTAAGCGGGTTAGGCCCATTGTTCGTACGAGAAAATGGGTAAAAATCAATCTAGAAGATGCAAGCTATGGAGTGCTTGCCTATGGTGCAGGCCATTACGCATCTTGCGTGATAATTTAGAAGAAGAAGGGAAGAAAAAATATACTTGGTTTTAAGAATATCACGGCAAAAGAGGTTAGAGAAAGAAATATGTAAAAACAATAGCTCCTCCGCCCTTCACCGAAGCGGAGAACACAGGCGCACACACACACACCCCCCACACCCCCACCCTACCCCTACTAACAATAAGTGTGCACCCAAACAAGGCGTTGGGTTTTTAAAAAATGAAGCAGACTACTGTTGTCTCTTTTCCCCTCTCCCTTATCCAGGTCTGTCGGCGCCTTTCCTCCGCGCTCTGTCCTCTGCCTCAAAGCACCAGCCCCACGCCCCAACCACAGGCGGCGCCCGCACCAGCTGAGACCCCGCGAGAAGTGGGCCCAAACCGCAGAAGAAGAAGAGGCGGAAACAGACACACGCTCAGGAAACCACAGAAGAAGAAGCGGGGAAGCAAATATGTGAGACACCGAGAACTGCCTTGGAGCACAGAGAGAAACTGCTCCAAATCCTGTGACTGTTCTCCACGGAGGGGGCAGCGTGATATACCAAACGCACCCGCGGAAACCCCCCTGAAAGTTGTTCCCGCACCGCAAACAGAAGAAGCCATTGTGACCGGCACGTTTGGGTTATTCACCAACCCTCATGGACCACAGGCTAACGCTTTGGGCTACCTGGGCCTCCTGCGGACTTTGAAAAACTTCCACAGCCCGGCGGAAAGACTGTGTGCTCGACATGGGTCGAAGGACTGTTACCGGAGGAGGCGTTAAAGGCAGAGGGCCTCTCAAGCTCACACGGGGCCAGAGGACGGCAGAGGCGGGCACGGAGGAAACACGAGCGACTGACCAAACCTGGGTTCACATTCGTCACCAAAGCGACCGCTCATGTAAGTTTGAACAACAACAAATTGCAATTGGCACTTTTTAGAGATAATTCATGCCCGTAATATACGCTAACAATCTGTGGTGTAAAAGTTAAAATTCTGGATGACTCCGGGGCAACAAATTCTGTGCTAAAAGTGACAGCCTTTCTGTCTCCCCTAAAATGAGCGGCCGCTTCATATTCTAATTAGCAGCGTCGGAGAGACGACTAAAGAGCAATTTACGTCACCGCTAACGTGTTTTGATTCTCAGGGCAACCAGCTTAAACATTCTTTTCTATATTCCCCATTGTGCCCGGTTAACCTACTAGGCCGAGACCTTATGTGCAGACTCAATTAAAAATAGATAAATAAAAGGAGGCACCGGTCCCAAAAGTTAACTACCACTGGAAATTGACACCAAACCCTGAGATTGCTAAGTTATTAGCCACAACAAGTGGATAGTGACGCCCGCACAAAATTTGGAGGTCAACCACGCGAACGACGACCTAAGCTGCTCTCTCCGGTCGTTCCCAGACAATAACTTGGAGTTTGAAAATTCATGCAGTGTAGGGAAGATAGGCTAACGGAGTACGTTTATTGAGATAGGCACCACTATCTGTGCTACTTAACGAGCAACAAAAACATTTTATCGTGAAACAAAGGTGAAGTATTAAAGTTTGAGACTAATTTACATTTTTAATGAATCCGACCTGGCTTTATTGAAAAAGAAAAAAAATAAGGAAAATAAACATTTTTTTTAGGTGACAAGAGCTCATTAGAGATATAGGGGACACAATCTGTGATAAGCCCGAAGTATAGACCACGTGGTAAACACTAAAGTTGGAAATGGATCCTTTTAGGAAAACTCTTTTAAAGCTCTGCAGGCTCTGAAAGTTGCAACAATAAGAAATAGCTCATGAGACAATTGGAATTGGACATGGAAAAATATAACAAAGTTAAAAGTACAGGCCTTCTGTGTGTTACATGTTTGTGTGTTATATGTTTTGTGTATGTTATATGTTTGTGTGTCATGTCAAAGTACACTACGTCGACCTTAACAAACTGGACCAAAATACTAACGTGGGGAATCGGCCTGTGATGTGACTGTGATGTGACTGTGATGTGACTGTGATATGACTGTGATGTGAGTGTGTTGTGAAATAAGGAGTGAAATGAGGAGTGCTGAACGGAATCATGGAATAACAAATGTGTCTGTAATGTTTTAATGTGATCATGGAATAATTATTTTTTTGTCAACAGCATACGGTGTAAGTACTAGAGATTCAAAGATAACGACCTTTATTGAACAGGTGTAAAAGTGAGAGTACTCTGGGATGAGTACTCTGAGAAAAGTACTCTGCTGAAAGTACTCGGAGATGAAATACCTCGCTGAAGATATTGGGAGTTCCTGCCTCTGCTGTTTGTCCTGACAGCGACACAGTCCAACCGCAGTGAGCTGTCGTTGGTTGGAGGACAACTTTGGTTTGTAAACTCACATTTAGGGAAGTATAAAATTAGAAACATACATTTTGTTGTTCTGTATTTGGCTACAGCCTCCGCCCTGATGCCACACACCACCTGTCAATGCAGTTATGTTTTGCCCAATTGGGAAAAAGATTGACAAGCGAAAGTGGGCATTTTTTGTGTTTTTTTTTGTGTTCTGATATTTCTTTTTCAGATGAGAGATAAACTACCCCTGCTCCAGGGATGACAGTAGTATGGATCAGGAGGAAATGAGCCTCCACTTTGGCACAAAAGCCCACAATATGAATTGAGGACGATCCGGGAGAAAAGCAACTGGAGATGAACGGAACAGTCGGTACTTTTGCAGTCTCACGGAGGGCCACTGAGACCCACTGCTTACTTCTCAGCAAAACTTGATCCCGTGGCAGCAGGGTTGCCTCGCTGCCTGCGGGCTGTGGCTGCTGCTGAGAAAGCGGCCCTAGCATCACGTGACCTTGTGGGATACACTGAACTAACTTTGCTTGTGCCCCATGCTGTTTCCCTGATCCTGTTAGAGCAGAGGGCCTCTCGCCTTTCTGCGGCTCGTTGGCTGGGGTACAACACGGTGCTCTTTGAACTACGGTGAAGGGATGCACACAGCTGAACTCCTCCTCGCTGCTGCCCACGCCAGAGGAAGGGGAGGCACGCTGCTGTATCGCCACAATAGAACATATATGCACTCCCAGGCCAGACCTGAAAGAGGTGCCTCTGACTAATCCTGACTTGATTTTTTTTTATACAGACGGAGCCGCGTCACGTGACAACACTGGGAAGAACCGAGTCGGCTATGCTGTATGCTCTGATTTTGATACTATAGACTCTGGTAGTTTGCCCCACTACCACTCAGCACAAACCGCTGAGCTGGTCGCGCCCACCGGGGCTTGTGAGCTGGCAGCGGGCAAAACATATTCTGTGATACGCGCTATGGTTTCTCTGTGGTGCACGACTGGGAAGCACTGTGGAAACACCGCAATTTTATGAAATCTGATGGTAAACCAATTCTTAATTCCACACAGGTTGAACGTCTGCTGAAAGCTGTAATGTTGCCCTTAGAGATCGCTGTATGCAAATGCCAGGCCCACACTAATGCCACTGATCCCATCTCTGCAGGGAATCGGCGCGCGGACAAGGCAGCGGCATACGCACCTCTACACACACACACACACTACCTCACTCAAGACGTTGATATTTTCTACTCCAGCAGAGACGCTGCTGTGGGAGGGGAATGGGGCTCAACGACGGCATGGTGTGTGTGGCTGGGACCAGACAGCAAACCGTGCCTACCACGGCATTTCTTCAGACAGTTTGCAATTTTAGCACATGGTCGAGACCATGCCTCAAAAGGAGGGATGATGTGTGATTTAATCACACAAAATTGGTATACAAAGGGGTTTACGGCATTTGCACAGAGATTCAGCCAAACATGCGCTATATGCCCCGCGCACAACCCAGGGAAGTCTCAAAAGTATCCAACAGGCTGCTCATCCTCCGCCCCTGCGCCCATTTCAACATGTCCAAAGGGACTTTGTTGAACTCACACCATGCCAAGGTAAGTAATACTGTCTGGTTCTGGCGGATCTCTGGTCCAAATGGACTGAAGTATTTGCAGGCATACACGCCACAAGCAACGCGGTGGTGAAAGCTCTGCTCACAAAAATTGTGCCCCGAGAAAAAAAATCTCTAGTGACACTGGCAGTCACTTTGTAGCAAAAGTCATTGAGGAAGTGGGTGAATTTCTGGGCATTGATATACGTAAACACTGCAGTTACGCCCCCTGGCCCGGAGGCGCGTGCGAGCGAGAGAATGGCACTCAAAGCTCTGCCGCTAGCCCTCATGTACATGCGCATGAGAGTCCCATTCGAAATCCTCTGTGCCAGACCACCCAACTTGGGCGAGGGACCCCCGAACAGAGATCTGCCAAGCACCTCTTTGTGTGATGACGACATGCTGTCCTATTGTAAGGAAATTAATGCACTTTTGTCCTCTATTTCTGCCCAGGTCAGGAGCGCCCTGCCACAGGCTGCGCAGGCGACTGGGTCCTGATGAAGGAAACGAGACGAAAGCATTGGCGGTCCAAGCGCTGGCTCGGCCCATTCCTCGCCCTCCTGGTGACGGACACTGCCGTTAAGGTCGCGGAGAGGACAACTTGGATCCACGCCAACCACTGTCGTGCGGGGCTGCCACTGAGGGCCATAGAGGAGGACACCGAGGGCGCGGACGGACCAGGCCCATCCGCGGCTCCCTACGCTGAAGAAGTTGGCCGGCGTGCGGCCACCGTCGGTGAAGCAGGCCAACAACAACACCCAGAGATTCCCAGCGTTCCCGAGGCGACCCCCCTTTTGCCCAACTCCCCAGCCCCCGGACCCCAAGGCCTGGGAGCCATGAAGGCCCTGAGCGCTCTGCTCAGCCGCAGCAAGTATGCAGAGCTGCTGCTCATTCCAAAGATTTCTCCAGAGCCTGCTCCCTCTGGCCATAATGCAGATTGGAGCTCTGCTGGAGTGCCCCCTGGTGTCTCGTCTCCCGTGTGTCCGGAGGAGGTGGAGATGAGGGCTGCTCTACAGTTCCTGATGAGGCACATGGTGAAGCGTGCTGTCATGAGGTCTCCCATCAAATGAGCTTTGGGCCTGGCCGATCTGGAGCGTGCTCAAGCCATGGTCGCCACACCCCAAACCCCGAGCACTCTGCCCAACCGAGTGCTGAGGCCAAGGCTTCAACGCAAATAGAGTCTTGCCGCTCCAAGACCAAACATCGCCATGACCACTAACGCTCCACACACGCTCATAGGGAGCGGTGCCACTGACTGCGAGACGGCACTGCTCGTGAGTATTCCCGCGGAAAAGACTACCGAACGTAGACCGGCATGGGCCCTTGGACTGTTATGCTGGCCACACTGACACTACTTTCCGTGCTGACCGTGTTTATTATGTTAATATTGCCTTCTCTTATCGCTGTCCGGATCCATTGTGTTATTATAATGTGCTCTTTCTTTTATTGACAAGCATGTGTCTTTTCCTGTCCACTTTGGACAGCAATAATTTAAGTGTTTCAAGCTTGAAGGTGGTGTGATTACGATGCCTCTGGTATTTAACTGATTAATGCAAAAATGGTTTTGAATTATCAGAAGAGGGGAGTGTGGTGACAGTTTTTGGAGTAATTACATTAAAACCAGCCGCAGCAAATACACGGACGTCAAAGGCCTTTTATCAATGCAGACGACCTTCTGACGCCATGCTGAGCTTTGTGAAGGTCCCTGCTGTCTGTCACACCCTTGTGTCTTTCCGTCTTGCATCTGTATGACCTGCACTTCCACCATTGTCTGTCTGTTCACACCCCATGCCACTGCCACCACAGGGGATGGCGCCGGCGCTTCCTGTGCGCCTCCTCACCGGTGGCCCCCTCCGCTCCGTTGTGGGCGTGACTATCTTTCGTGTGTGTCTTGGATACAGGAAGCTGGGGGCTCTGGCCCCCAGAGCTGAGCATGCTGCCTTTGTGTGGATATGCTGACTCTCCGCACTGTGCGTTAACAATAAACTTACGCTTTTGATCAGACAAGGACCTTTGAGTTTCCTCCTTCATGGGGTATGTAATTCTATAACAGTGTCAATATGTACCTGTGTGTCTAAATGTACCTGTGTGTCAATATGTACCTGTGTGTCAATATGTACCTGTGTGTCTAAATGTACCTGTGTGTCTAAATGTACCTGTGTGTCAATATGTACCTGTGTGTCTAAATGTACCTGTGTGTCAATATGTACCTGTGTCTCTGTGTCTATATGCATGTCAGGGCACGTCATTTTGGCCACTTTTGAGCTGGGACACCTCCCCACTGGTCAGTACCTTGGTCTGTACCTTGGTCAGTACCTTGGTCTGTACCTTGGTCTGTACCTTGGTCAGTACCTTGGTCTGTACCTTGGTCTGTACCTTGGTCAGTACCTTGGTCAGTACCTTGGTCAGTACCTTGGTCAGTACCTTGGTCTGTACCTTGGTCTGTACCTTGGTCAGTACCTTGGTCAGTACCTTGGTCTGTACCTTGGTCTGTACCTTGGTCAGTACCTTGGTCAGTACCTTGGTCTGTACCTTGGTCAGTACCTTGGTCAGTACCTTGGTCTGTACCTTGGTCAGTACCTTGGTCAGTACCTTGGTCAGTACCTTGGTCTGTACCTTGGTCAGTACCTTGGTCAGTACCTTGGTCAGTACCTTGGTCTGTACCTTGGTCAGTACCTTGGTCAGTACCTTGGTCAGTACCTTGGTCTGTACCTTGGTCAGTACCTATGTCAGTACCTTGGTCAGTACCTTGGTCAGTACCTTGGTCTGTACCTTGGTCTGTACCTTGGTCAGTACCTTGGTCAGTACCTTGGTCAGTACCTTGGTCTGTACCTTGGTCAGTACCTTGGTCAGTACCTTGGTCAGTACCTTGGTCTGTACCTTGGTCAGTACCTTGGTCAGTACCTTGGTCAGTACCTTGGTCTGTACCTTGGTCAGTACCTTGGTCAGTACCTTGGTCAGTACCTTGGTCAGTACCTTGGTCTGTACCTTGGTCAGTACCTTGGTCAGTACCTTGGTCTGTACCTTGGTCAGTACCTTGGTCAGTACCTTGGTCTGTACCTTGGTCTGTACCTTGGTCAGTACCTTGGTCAGTACCTTGGTCAGTACCTTGGTCTGTACCTTGGTCAGTACCTTGGTCAGTACCTTGGTCTGTACCTTGGTCTGTACCTTGGTCTGTACCTTGTTGGTCTGTTATTACAGCACGGGCTACAGTAAAACCACAGCCGTCCCTGAACTGTGCGGACAGGCCACAAATGTTTTCTTCTGACTTTACATAAGAATAAATTGTCCTTATATGGAGGCGTTTATAGGAGGACGGCGTTTACACACGGCGTAAAGCGTCTGTGCTTGTTTGGTGTCTGTAGGAGGACAGCGTTTACACACGGCGTAAAGCGTCTGTGCTTGTTTGGTGTCTGTAGGAGGACAGCGTTTACACACGGCGTAAAGCGTCTGTGCTTGTTTGGTGTCTGTAGGAGGACAGCGTTTACACACGGCGTAAAGCGTCTGTGCTTGTTTGGTGTCTGTAGGAGGACGGCGTTTACACACGGCGTAAAGCGTCTGTGCTTGTTTGGTGTCTGTAGGAGGACAGCGTTTACACACGGCGTAAAGCGTCTGTGCTTGTTTGGTGTCTGTAGGAGGACAGCGTTTACACACGGCGTAAAGCGTCTGTGCTTGTTTGGTGTCTGTAGGAGGACGGCGTTTACACACGGCGTAAAGCGTCTGTGCTTGTTTGGTGTCTGTAGGAGGACAGCGTTTACACACGGCTAAAGCGTCTGTGCTTGTTTGGTGTCTGTAGGAGGACAGCGTTTACACACGGCGTAAAGCGTCTGTGCTTGTTTGGTGTCTGTAGGAGGACAGCGTTTACACACGGCGTAAAGCGTCTGTGCTTGTTTGGTGTCTGTAGGAGGACAGCGTTTACACACGGCGTAAAGCGTCTGTGCTTGTTTGGTGTCTGTAGGAGGACAGCGTTTACACACGGCGTAAAGCGTCTGTGCTTGTTTGGTGTCTGTAGGAGGACAGCGTTTACACACGGCGTAAAGCGTCTGTGCTTGTTTGGTGTCTGTAGGAGGACAGCGTTTACACACGGCGTAAAGCGTCTGTGCTTGTTTGGTGTCTGTAGGAGGACAGCGTTTACACACGACGTAAAGCGTCTGTGCTTGTTTGGTGTCTGTAGGAGGACAGCGTTTACACACGGCGTAAAGCGTCTGTGCTTGTTTGGTGTCTGTAGGAGGACAGCGTTTACACACGGCGTAAAGCGTCTGTGCTTGTTTGGTGTCTGTAGGAGGACAGCGTTTACACACGGCGTAAAGCGTCTGTGCTTGTTTGGTGTCTGTGGGCTGTAAATGTGGACTAATACTGTAAAGCTGTAACATGAAGCAGTATTGGACCGCCCCAGACCTTCCTCCATAAACTGATGCGATTCTCAAATTGAATGTTGTGTTTTGCTCTCTGCTTTGTTACTTTGCCTTTGTCTGAGAGGAGATAAAAAGGGAAGCGACCCCAGGAGGCACAGTGTAATGATTTTTGCATCTATCACTAGCAGGGATCATTTCATTCCTATTTTGTGCCTGCGAGGAGCCATGTAATTGTCTCAAAGTCTGATCTTGAGGAAAGTGTGTATACGGCGCAGGGAACGGCAAATAGCTACAGCTTTTAGACCCATTTCAGAAGTCTCTCCAAATAAAACACAAAAATCACCTCATGACTGGATAATTACGGATGTTTTTGAGGGTAATAAATGACAAATCCCAGGTATTCTTGCCAAAAGCTATTAGAGAGCGAAAACAAAATGTGAATCTTTTTGATAAATAACACATCACCTCGTAATCACGGCACTAAATCAGTTCCATCTTTTTCTTCTCGGTGACAAAATCTCACCTCCACCGTGGCGCTGCTTTTATCGCCGCTGCCTGTGACTAGCATCCATTAGCGCCCGGAGGCTTCGCTGCCCTCTCGCTGATAAACGTATTAATTAAGACGAGGATTCGTGGTGAGATTGTGGCCCCTGAGTCTCTCGGAGCCGGACCGTGTCGGGCTCAGGCGGTCCGTATCCAAAGCCGCCTTCGCCACGCTCTGAGTGACCTAATTGGAGGCGAGGCTGGACTCCGGTGGTGGTCCTCGCTGTTATATACGTTAAGTGCATTATGGGTAAAAGCTGGGAGACGGCGGGTGTGACTGAGACAGCTGCCAGCTCAGGACACAGACGTACAGTTTATAATTATTACTGCCTTGTTAAAGTCTTACATATCAGCCAGACTTTGTTTTTCACATGTCACAGTTTTGTTCCATCGTAAAAAAACACAGGCCTCGAATCCATTATTATTATGATTAGATTTGTGTTGGTTCTTTTACTGTTACTTACACAGAGAGAGAAATCTATTTTTGATCAATACTAAGGCCCTGTCAATCAATCTTTAAGAGAGAAAAAGTCACAAACTCTGCTTTAAAATAAAAATCATTTAATGAACTTTTGAATCCATCTTTATTTAGAGAGCGCTTTTCCATCACACAAGGCACCAATAGTAGCAGTAGTAGTAGCAGTAGAAGCAGTAGCAGTAGTAGTAGTAGTAGTAGTAGTAGTAGTAGTAGTAGTAGTAGTAGTAGTAGTAGTAGTAGTAGTAGTAGTAGTAGTAGTAGTAGAAGTAGTAGTAGTAGTAGTAGTAGTAGTAGTAATAGTAGTAGTAGTAGTAGTAGTAGTAGTAGTAGTAGTAGTAGCAGTAGTAGTAATAGTAGTGTAGTGCAAAACCAACCCCACCTCCACGTGGTGCACTATGGGCATTGGGGTGTACCCCAACCCCCCTGGGGTCATGACCCGATGGCAAACGGGGCTCTGGCTGTAGGAGCCGGCGACTTCTGCAGTACACCAGCCACACACCTGTCTACAGGACAGACCTGCTCTGGGGCTGACAACCCCTGAGGAGGGACGCTTCAAGTAGTAGTAGTAGTAGTAGTAGTAGTAGTAGTAGTAGTAGTAGTAGTAGTAGTAGTAGTAGTAGTAGTAGTAGTAGTAGTAGTAGTAGTAGTAGTAGCAGTAGTAGTAATAGTAGTAGTAGTAGTAGTAGTAGTAGTAGTAGTAGTAGCAGAAAATTGAAATCCTTCATTTGTGGCACAGAATCGTCTTTAACCTGGATTTGAAGAAGAAGAAGCCTGTCTCACATTTTCAGGAAGACTAAAAGCTCCTTGTGATGTCACTGTGCCGCTATGACATCACACACTTCGTTTCTTCCTCTTAAAACAAAAGAAATGATGATGTTTACAGTCAGCCAAACTCCTCCCCCTGGTGGTCACATCTCAAACATGAGAGGACAATGGTTCTAGTCATTTTCATTTGCCAAATATAAAGTATCATATTTCTTATTTAAATAACTGCTGTGTTTTAAATTATTCTATTGTGTCTTTGCTTTTGGAAAATAAATAGATGTAAATGTGTCCTCAGTGGGAAGTAAGTAAGTAAGTAATGTTTATTTATATAACACCTTTCTCAGACCAGAGTCACAGCGGTCTACAGATGTGGCCGTTTGTCTCTGACTCCACAGAGATGGGAACTGGACTCATGGGTTCAATTTCAGAAACAAAAAGGAGAGAAATCTGAAAAACACAGGAACATGCCCCAGTTCTGATCTGTAAAAATCAAATCAAATAAAAAGTGTCTCTTAGGCCCTGTCCACACGAAGTCAAGCTCAGGCCTAAACGCAAAAATACTTTATCAATCCAGTGTATCGTCCATACGAGGCCGGCGTTTTGGGGGGGTGTAAACGAACATTTTTGAAAGTAGGTCCCAGAGTGGAAAGATTTCAAAACTCCGTATATGCCGCTCCGTGGTTACTGCCTCTCCGCAATGTATCTGAGACGCGTCATCGCCCCGCCTCTTGTTAAAGCACGCATGCGCCGCACTCAGAAAATAATGACAACAACAATGTAGCTTGTTGGTTTTGTAATCCAGTGTGACCCGAAGCAACAGTTCAACCTCATCGTCCGTCCATACTAATGTAGTACCAGCTCGCCCACTCGCCATGTTGTCTGTTTACAACATTCTGCACATGCCCAGTTCCCGTCACAGAAGTTTGGGCTTGATCCCGTCATTGCGTCACAGCGCCACCAACAGGTCTGGCATAGTTTCACAGCGTTTTCAGGCGTATTGACTACATTCATATGGACGCACACATTTACTGAGCTAACTCCGTGTTTACAGAAAAAGTTTCTGAAATTATAAGCGTTTTGTCTTCGTGTGGATATAGCCTTAATCTAAGTCTAACGAGAGAAGCCAGTGTCCTGCAGACGTGACAGAAACATTTCCTCTTCCCTCTGCAGAAGAATGTGATGGATGTGTTTTTCAGGGTTAGGGTTCGTTACTCAGTAATTATTGTTGTGCTTCTGGAAACATGGATCTGATGATCAGAGCCTGGGACTGCTTTAGTTTGGAATAATGGCTCTGCAGCTGTTTTCACGCAGACACAGCCGCGACACAGCCGCTGTTCAGGCCTCGGCACAGACTCTGATCATCAGAATCTGCATCAGGTCAAATACTGACTTCAGCGTTTAGGACATATTTATGAAACTCTACAAACACAATAATAATAATAAAAATGGATCAGTTTTATTTGGATTCTTTCTCTCCAAACACGGTGGTGACAAACTACTACTGTAGCCACAGCTGCCCTGGGGCACACTGACAGAAGCCCCTCCCACCACCACCAACCATTCACACACACACACCAGACTCATTCTAATGTGGGGGAAGTGTCTTGCCTAAGGACACAGCCACAGTTTGGCACTTTACAGCCGCCCCACTGTGGCACCTGCTGTTCCCAGAGGTCTCCCATCACAGTACTAACCAAGCCCTGCCCTGCACAGCCTCTGTCAGGTCATGTAGGATTGTTTTCTGTATGAAAACTGTTTCATAAATAACATTTGATTGATTGATTTCAGCTTTTGACCCAAATTGAAAGATAATTTAAAATATTCACAATTATTATATTAAACAATTGACATGCTGTAATCTCACTGGGGGTGGGGGTGTACCCGGAAACAGAATTACCTGATGCTTTAGTATGGCGTCTTCTTTCCTCTAGACAACATCTTCATAAGATGCTCCAAAAGTGGCTCTTGGTTTTTGAACCAGTCCAGTTTAGCCGCTGTGGACTTCAGAATGCGTTGTTTCACATGTTCCTGCCCAGCGGTCATTTTGAAAAGCCGCATAAGTCAAAAGTGATGTCACATTAGTTGAACAGCAGAGATAGATATCTACAGTCTGAGCACAGAAGAAGAAACGCCGCACTTTAGTCCAAACTTACCTTTTCTCCTAAAACACCTCTTGTTTTTTAATCGTCCTAGTTCCGGATGTAAGAAGATGTAAGAAGCGTTTTCCGGCAGAGCGTGTGATGTCAAACCACGAGGGCTTTTCACTGCTGCATAAATTTAAATGAACTAGTGTCACCGCGGCAACAGCAGCTGTCCCGGTATGGCTGCTTTATTATTAACACGTAACAGCGACGTTGAAAGCCTACAATTAAGAGCAGGAGGCAGAAAACCAGCCCCGGTGACACTGAGCTCAGGTGTAAAACTGTCGCAATTTAAAAACACATTTTTGGCTTCAGGGAAATGGAAGAATTGTGGATGAAAAAGAGGAAAGTGGTGGATGTGAGCTGTGTATTAGCTTTAGCTGTCTTTAGCTAGCTGTCTTTAGCTAGCTGTCTTTAGCTGTCTTTAGCTGTCTTTAGCAGTCTTTTTGTGCTGCTTTCTCTGGAGAAGAAAGAACTAGAAACTGTAAACTCACTCACACAGATCTATGCTGACTGTTCTGTTGTCAGAGACGGGCCGCGGTTCCCAAACTGCGGTGCACCTCCACTGGACTGCTGTTGGACTGATGTTTGTTTTCTGTTTGCAGTGACGTGTGCAGAGGGAGAAGGTGTTGGGTTCATTACTCACTGTAAACCCTAACTTCAATCCTACTTCAGATATCAAAGTTATTTTAAATAGATTTTTCCCAGGAAGTAAATATTACTCATTTATTGGTAGTTAATTTAAAGCTTGGCTACGTCACTCAGGGTTTCCTTTGAAAGGAACTGTCTCTGTTCATTCTGACGTGTAGAGTGTTTAATAAAGCAGGTGTGATGACGGCCCCGGGGCCTTTGCAATCACAAGGTTCTAAGTATGGATCCTGGTCGGAGCATTAAAATGTAATCCTTATTGATATCACTTGAGTTACTTGGTAATATTAAGTAAAGGATGTACTCGAGGAATTCAAGTGAAGTTAATTTGCCATTTATTTCCAAGGTTTTTTCAAGTAAACTTTACTTTTCAGGGTTTATAAGACGGTTTTTCTACTTTCTCTACTTTCTCCACAGTCGACGGTCGAGCTGTGTGTGTCTGTGTGTGTGTGTCTGTCTATATGTCTGTGTGTGTCTGTGTGTGTGTGTCTGTCTATATGTCTGTGTGTTTGTCTGTGTGTGTGTGTGTCTGTCTGTGTGTGTCTGTCTATATGTCTGTGTGTGTCTGTCTATATGTGTGTGTCTGTGTCTGTCTGTGTGTGTGTGTCTGTCTATATGTCTGTGTGTGTCTGTGTGTCTGTCTATATGTCTGTGTGTTTGTCTGTGTGTGTGTGTGTCTGTCTGTGTGTGTCTGTCTATATGTCTGTGTGTGTCTGTCTATATGTGTGTGTGTGTGTGTGTCTGTGTGTGTCTGTCTATATGTCTGTGTGTGTCTGTCTGTGTGTGTCTGTCTATATGTCTGTGTGTGTGTGTCTGTCTGTGTGTGTGTGTGTGTCTGTGTCTGTCTGTGTGTCTGTCTGTGTCTGTCTGTGTGTGTGTGTGTGTGTCTATATGTCTGTGTGTGTGTGTGTCTATATGTCTGTGTGTGTCTGTCTATATGTCTGTGTGTGTGTGTGTGTGTCTGTCTGTGTGTGTGTGTCTGAGTGTGTCTGTGTGTGTCTGTGTGTGTGTGTGTGGGTAGTTGTGTAAACTGGGGACCCTTGGAAGTCAACCATGTCTGTGTCTTAAGGTTTTTAATTAAATGTGTGATTTTATTTTCTAGGTTTTTAATATTTCTTATGATGTTTGTTTTTAATCATATTTTGGTCGTTCATGCATCCATAAGTGAACACTTCACTCATATTCATTTATTTACAAATCAATTAAAGTGAAGCCCAGTTACTGATCAAAATGTGGAGATGAAGAGGGTTAGCCCCGCCCCCACAGCTTCCTGATTGGATGCAATTAATTTAAATTCTCGATAGACAGCTGAGGCCCCTCCCCATTGGTCCAACTATTCTCCTTTTTCCAAGAGGAGGGGCTGTTTTAGATGTGTGTATTATGCATCACACTGCAGGGTCATAGGTAGAAAATATGTATTATTGATTGACTGCGGAACCTTCCGCAGTCAACCATTGGTTTTGTATTTCTTTATTCCGTCATTTTTTTTGACACGTTTCACAGCTTTCACATTTTCAACAATTTCCACAAGTTATACATCAAAACGTTCCACATGTTTGGGAGATTATTGCTATTACTTTTGGGACTTCAGCGATTTCCGGTTTTTCCGCAATCGGACAAAAATCTGCATTGAGAATTCTGCAATGCATTTTAATAGGCCCATGCATTTTAATAGGACTTCAGCTCTTTCAGACATTTCTACAGTTTCAATGATTCAACAGTTTCAAGGATTCAACAGTTTCAAGGATTTCAGCAGTTTCAAGATTTCAAGAGTTTCAAGGACTTCAACAGTTTCAAGGACTTCAGCAGTTTCAAGGACTTCAGCAGTTTCAAGGACTTCAGCAGTTTCAAGGACTTCAGTGTAATCATGCAACCTAATAGGGATTTTTCCATGTAAACCAGTATAATGCAACTTAATAGGGATTTTTCCATGTAAACCAGTATAATGCAACTTAATGGGGATTTTTCCATGTAAACCAGTATAATGCAACTTAATAGGGTTTTTTTTCATGTAAACCAGTATAATGCAACTTAATAGGGTTTTTTCATGTAAACCAGTATAATGCAAACTTAATAGGGTTTTTTCATGTAAACCAGTATAATGCAACTTAATAGGGATTTTTCCATGTAAACCAGTATAATGCAACTTAATAGGGATTTTTACATGTAAACCAGTATAATGCAACTTAATAGGGTTTTTTACATGTAAACCAGTATAATGCAACTTAATAGGGTTTTTTCCATGTAAACCAGTATAATGCAACTTAATAGGGATTTTTCCATGTAAACCAGTATAATGCAACTTAATAGGGGTTTTTACATGTAAACCAGTATAATGCAACTTAATAGGTTTTTTTTCCATGTAAACCAGTATAATGCAACTTAATAGGGTTTTTTCCATGTAAACCAGTATAATGCAACTTAATAGGGTTTTTTCCATGTAAACCAGTACAATGCAACTTAATAGGGATTTTTCCATGTAAACCAGTATAATGCAACTTAATAGGGTTTTTTACATGTAAACCAGTATAATGCAACTTAATGGGGATTTTTCCATGTAAACCAGTATTATGCAACTTAATAGGGATTTTTCCATGTAAACCAGTATAATGCAACTTAATAGGGATTTTTCATTGTAAACCAGTATAATGCAACTTAATAGGGTTTTTTCCATGTAAACCAGTATAATGCAACTTAATAGGGATTTTTCCATGTAAACCAGTATAATGCAACTTAATAGGGGTTTTTACATGTAAACCAGTATAATGCAACTTAATAGGGTTTTTTCCATGTAAACCAGTATAATGCAACTTAATAGGGTTTTTTCCATGTAAACCAGTATAATGCAAACTTAATAGGGTTTTTTCCATGTAAACCAGTACAATGCAACTTAATAGGGATTTTTCCATGTAAACCAGTATAATGCAACTTAATAGGTTTTTTTACATGTAAACCAGTATAATGCAACTTAATGGGGATTTTTCCATGTAAACCAGTATTATGCAACTTAATAGGGATTTTTCCATGTAAACCAGTATAATGCAACTTAATAGGGATTTTTCCTTGTAAACCAGTATAATGCAACTTAATAGGGTTTTTTTCATGTAAACCAGTATAATGCAACTTAATGGGGATTTTTCCATGTAAACCAGTATTATGCAACTTAATAGGGATTTTTCCATGTAAACCAGTATAATGCAACTTAATAGGGTTTTTACATGTAAACCAGTATAATGGAACTTAATAGGGGTTTTTACATGTAAACCAGTATAATGGAACTTAATAGGGGTTTTTACATGTAAACCAGTATAATGCAACTTAATAAGGATTTTTACATGTAAACCACTATAATGTAACCTAATAGGGGTTTTTACATGTAAACCAGTATAAAGCAACTTAATAGGGATTTGTACATGTAAACCAGTATAATGCAACCTAATAGGGATTTTTACATGTAAACCAGTATAATGCAACTTAATAGAGATTTTTCCATGTAAACCAGTATAATGCAACTTAATAGGGATTTTTCCATGTAAACCAGTATAATGCAACCTAATAGGGATTTTTCCATGTAAACCAGTATAATGCAACCTAATAGGGATTTTTCCATGTAAACCAGTATAATGCAACCTAATAGGTTGCATTATACCACCAGACCAAGACCCAAACGAAGACTCAGACCACCACCAGATAATGACCACAGACCAGGTTTCCTTAGTTACAGGAACCAAATTGTTTCAGCGGTGAGGGGATTTTTCAGTTTCAAGGACACTTTCAATACATTCAGTAGTTTCAAGGATTTCAACTGTTTAAGAATTTAACCAGTTTCAAGGATATCAGGAGGTTCAAGGATTTCAGGAGTTTCCACACTTTCAACAGTTTCCAGGTTTAAAAAAAGTTTCAAGGATTTCAGGAGTTTCAATGTTTCAACAGTTTCAAGGATTTCAGGAGTTTAAAGGTTTCAACAATTTCAAGGACTTCAGGAGTTTCAAATATCTATCAAGTATTTTAACAGTTTCAAGGCCTTTTAAAGGATTTCAAGGATTTTTTTTAGCAGATTTCCACATTAGATCTGTTCCGCAGTCAATCGCAATGGCTTCAGCCATTGCAAGTTTCTAGTTATACATATTTTATATTTATTAATATTATAAAATACAAGTGAAGTCCCAGACATCACCTTTAAAAATGAGTCCCATACAATCCCTGTCTGTGTGTTTGGTGCAGGATTTATTTCTGAAGGTAAATAAAAGTGGATTTCCGACACAGAAACAGTCTCTCTTCTCCGCACGACCACGGACCATCACTGCTGCTGCATTTCCTTCTTTCTCTTCCAAACAACACGACTCTGACTCTTTCTCTTCCAAACAACACGACTCTTTCTCTTCCAAACAACACGACTCTGACTCTTTCTCTTCCAAACAACACGACTCTTTCTCTTTCAAACAACACACTGACTCTTTCTCTTCCAAACAACACGACTCTGACTCTTTCTCTTCCAAACAACACGACTCTTTCTCTTCCAAACAACACAGACTCTGACTCTTTCTCTTCCAAACAACACGACTCTGACTCTTTCTCTTCCAAACAACACGACTCTGACTCTTTCTTCCAAACAACACGACTCTGACTCCTCTTCTCTTTCCTTCCAAACAACACGACTCTTTCTCTTCCAAACAACACGACTCTGACTCTTTCTCTTCCAAACAACACGACTCTTTCTCTTCAAACAACACGACTCTGACTCTTTCTCTTCCAAACAACACGACTCTTTCTCTTCCAAACAACACGACTCTGACTCTTTCTCTTCCAAACAACACGACTCTGACTCTTTCTCTTCCAAACAACACGACTCTGACTCTTTCTCTTCCAAACAACACGACTCTGACTCTTTCTCTTCCAAACAACACGACTCTTTCTCTCTTTTCTCAAACAACACGACTCTTTCTCTTCCAAACAACACGACTCTGACTCTTTCTCTTCCAAACAAACGCTTTTCAACACGACTCTTTCTCTTTCTCTTCCAAACAACACGACTCTTTCTCTTCCAAACAACACGACTCTTTCTCTTCCAAACAACACGACTCTTTCTCTTTCTCTTCCAAACAACACGACTCTGACTCTTTCTCTTCCAAACAACACAACTCTTTCTCTTTCAAACAACACGACTCTTTCTCTTTCTCTTCCAAACAACACGACTCTGACTCTTTCTCTTCCAAACAACACGACTCTGACTCTTTCTCTTCCAAACAACACGACTCTGACTCTTTCTCTTCCAAACAACACGACTCTTTCTCTTTCTCTTCCAAACAACACGACTCTTTCTCTTCCAAACAACACGACTCTGACTCTTTCTCTTTCAAACAACACGACTCTGACTCTTTCTCTTTCAAACAACACAACTCTGACCCTTTCTCTTCCAAACAACACGACTCTGACTCTTTCTCTTCCAAACAACACGACTCTGACTCTTTCTCTTTCAAACAACACGACTCTGACCCTTTCTCTTCCAAACAACACGACTCTGACTCTTTCTCTTCCAAACAACACGACTCTTTCTCTTTCAAACAACACGACTCTTTCTCTTCCAAACAACACGACTCTGACTCTTTCTCTTCCAAACAACACGACTCTTTCTCTTCCAAACAACACGACTCTGACTCTTTCTCTTCCAAACAACACGACTCTGACTCTTTCTCTTCCAAACAACACGACTCTGACTCCTTCTCTTCCAAACAACACGACTCTGACTCCTTCTCTTCCAAACAACACGACTCTTTCTCTTCCAAACAACACGACTCTGACTCTTTCTCTTCCAAACAACACGACTCTTTCTCTTTCAAACAACACGACTCTTTCTCTTCCAAAAAACACGACTCTGACTCTTTCTCTTCCAAACAACACGACTCTTTCTCTTTCAAACAACACGACTCTTTCTCTTCCAAACAACACGACTCTGACTCTTTCTCTTCCAAACAACACGACTCTTTCTCTTCCAAACAACACGACTCTGACTCTTTCTCTTCCAAACAACACGACTCTGACTCTTTCTCTTCCAAACAACACGACTCTGACTCTTTCTCTTCCAAACAACACGACTCTTTCTCTTCCAAACAACACGACTCTTTCTCTTCCAAACAACACGACTCTGACTCTTTCTCTTTCAAACAACACGACTCTGACTCTTTCTCTTTCAAACAACACAACTCTGACCCTTTCTCTTCCAAACAACACGACTCTGACTCTTTCTCTTCCAAACAACACGACTCTGACTCTTTCTCTTTCAAACAACACGACTCTGACTCTTTCTCTTCCAAACAACACGACTCTGACCCTTTCTTCCAAACAACACGACTCTGACTCTTTCTCTTCCAAACAACACGACTCTTTCTCTTCCAAACAACACAACTCTGACCCTTTCTCTTCCAAACAACACGACTCTGACTCTTTCTCTTCCAAACAACACGACTCTTTCTCTTCCAAACAACACGACTCTGACCCTTTCTCTTCCAAACAACACGACTCTGACTCTTTCTCTTCCAAACAACACGACTCTTTCTCTTCCAAACAACACGACTCTGACTCTTTCTCTTCCAAACAACACGACTCTTTCTCTTCCAAACAACACAACTCTGACCCTTTCTCTTCCAAACAACACGACTCTGACCCTTTCTCTTCCAAACAACACGACTCTGACTCTTTCTCTTCCAAACAACACGACTCTTTCTCTTCCAAACAACACAACTCTGACTCTTTCTCTTCCAAACAACACAACTCTGACTCTTTCTCTTCCAAACAACACGACTCTGACTCTTTCTCTTCCAAACAACACGACTCTGACTCTTTCTCTTCCAAACAACACGACTCTTTCTCTTCCAAACAACACGACTCTGACTCTTTCTCTTCCAAACAACACGACTCTGACTCTTTCTCTTCCAAACAACACGACTCTGACTCCTTCTCTTCCAAACAACACGACTCTGACTCCTTCTCTTCCAAACAACACGACTCTTTCTCTTCCAAACAACACGACTCTGACTCTTTCTCTTCCAAACAACACGACTCTTTCTCTTTCAAACAACACGACTCTTTCTCTTCCAAACAACACGACTCTGACTCTTTCTCTTCCAAACAACACGACTCTTTCTCTTTCAAACAACACGACTCTTTCTCTTTCTCTTCCAAACAACACGACTCTGACTCTTTCTCTTCCAAACAACACGACTCTTTCTCTTTCTCTTCCAAACAACACGACTCTTTCTCTTCCAAACAACACGACTCTTTCTCTTCCAAACAACACGACTCTTTCTCTTTCTCTTCCAAACAACACGACTCTGACTCTTTCTCTTCCAAACAACACAACTCTTTCTCTTTCAAACAACACGACTCTTTCTCTTTCTCTTCCAAACAACACGACTCTGACTCTTTCTCTTCCAAACAACACGACTCTGACTCTTTCTCTTCCAAACAACACGACTCTGACTCTTTCTCTTCCAAACAACACGACTCTTTCTCTTTCTCTTCCAAACAACACGACTCTTTCTCTTCCAAACAACACGACTCTGACTCTTTCTCTTTCAAACAACACGACTCTGACTCTTTCTCTTTCAAACAACACAACTCTGACCCTTTCTCTTCCAAACAACACGACTCTGACTCTTTCTCTTCCAAACAACACGACTCTGACTCTTTCTCTTTCAAACAACACGACTCTGACCCTTTCTCTTCCAAACAACACGACTCTGACTCTTTCTCTTCCAAACAACACGACTCTTTCTCTTTCAAACAACACGACTCTTTCTCTTCCAAACAACACGACTCTGACTCTTTCTCTTCCAAACAACACGACTCTTTCTCTTCCAAACAACACGACTCTGACTCTTTCTCTTCCAAACAACACGACTCTGACTCTTTCTCTTCCAAACAACACGACTCTGACTCCTTCTCTTCCAAACAACACGACTCTGACTCCTTCTCTTCCAAACAACACGACTCTTTCTCTTCCAAACAACACGACTCTGACTCTTTCTCTTCCAAACAACACGACTCTTTCTCTTTCAAACAACACGACTCTTTCTCTTCCAAACAACACGACTCTGACTCTTTCTCTTCCAAACAACACGACTCTTTCTCTTTCAAACAACACGACTCTTTCTCTTTCTCTTCCAAACAACACGACTCTGACTCTTTCTCTTCCAAACAACACGACTCTTTCTCTTTCTCTTCCAAACAACACGACTCTTTCTCTTCCAAACAACACGACTCTTTCTCTTCCAAACAACACGACTCTTTCTCTTTCTCTTCCAAACAACACGACTCTGACTCTTTCTCTTCCAAACAACACAACTCTTTCTCTTTCAAACAACACGACTCTTTCTCTTTCTCTTCCAAACAACACGACTCTGACTCTTTCTCTTCCAAACAACACGACTCTGACTCTTTCTCTTCCAAACAACACGACTCTGACTCTTTCTCTTCCAAACAACACGACTCTGACTCTTTCTCTTCCAAACAACACGACTCTTTCTCTTCCAAACAACACGACTCTTTCTCTTCCAAACAACACGACTCTGACTCTTTCTCTTTCAAACAACACGACTCTGACTCTTTCTCTTTCAAACAACACAACTCTGACCCTTTCTCTTCCAAACAACACGACTCTGACTCTTTCTCTTCCAAACAACACGACTCTGACTCTTTCTCTTTCAAACAACACGACTCTGACTCTTTCTCTTCCAAACAACACGACTCTGACCCTTTCTCTTCCAAACAACACGACTCTGACTCTTTCTCTTCCAAACAACACGACTCTTTCTCTTCCAAACAACACAACTCTGACCCTTTCTCTTCCAAACAACACGACTCTGACTCTTTCTCTTCCAAACAACACGACTCTTTCTCTTCCAAACAACACGACTCTGACCCTTTCTCTTCCAAACAACACGACTCTGACTCTTTCTCTTCCAAACAACACGACTCTTTCTCTTCCAAACAACACGACTCTGACTCTTTCTCTTCCAAACAACACGACTCTTTCTCTTCCAAACAACACAACTCTGACCCTTTCTCTTCCAAACAACACGACTCTGACCCTTTCTCTTCCAAACAACACGACTCTGACTCTTTCTCTTCCAAACAACACGACTCTTTCTCTTCCAAACAACACAACTCTGACTCTTTCTCTTCCAAACAACACAACTCTGACTCTTTCTCTTCCAAACAACACGACTCTGACTCTTTCTCTTCCAAACAACACGACTCTGACTCTTTCTCTTCCAAACAACACAACTCTGACTCTTTCTCTTCCAAACAACACGACTCTTTCTCTTCCAAACAACACGACTCTTTCTCTTCCAAACAACACAACTCTGACTCTTTCTCTTCCAAACAACACGACTCTAACTCTTTCTCTTCCAAACAACACGACTCTGACTCTTTCTCTTCCAAACAACACGACTCTTTCTCTTCCAAACAACACCACTCTTTCTCTTCCAAACAACACGACCAGAGGTGTGGACTCGAGTCATGTGACTTGGACTCGAGTCAGACTCGAGTCATGATTTTGATGACTTTAGACTCGACTTGACCAAATATAAAAAGACTTGCAACTCGACTTGGACTTTAACATCAATGACTCTGACTTTCACTTGGACTTGCGCCAATTGACTTGTAAAGACTTGCGTAACCCGGGCCATTTTTACCTTTCTCCGCATCTCTCTTTCTATCGCCGTCTCTGAAGAAACAAAGCCTCGCGGTAGTTGTAGCGCTCGCGAGAGAGTTCGAACGTGAGTTCCCCGCAGTTCGCGCAGTAACACTTCCCTAAACAAGCGCACTGCATTCACCGGTGGGTGTGTTGTCGTAGGGGAGCTGGAAATGAGCGAGCTGCAGATATTTATCGCGACCTAACGTCATACTTTGTTCTACAAACCGTAATTGATATGCTTTCACTACAGGCGCCTCATACAATTGAATCGACGCAGTTGTCACACTGTGTGCCGTGTTTTAAAGAGGAACTGGTGAGTCAAACTAGCGCTAGCCTGCGCTGCTCTGTTGGCTCTTTCTTATATTTTTCTGTGTGGGCGCAGAGGCCTATTATGAGTATGTTTTTGCTGTGCTCCTCCTGCTAAAGTTTGCATACATTAGATAGTTGTTTTGATTATGTGCACTAAGCTAGATTAATATTTGCACTATTGTTTATGGTGCATTGATATGAGAATCAGTGCTTTGACTGATTGAATTAATTTATATGAGACATTTTATTATGTAATGATATATTGGTAATTATGAGATATTACTAATGCTGGTCCAGTTCATACAGGCCGGGGTCCTTCCCCTCCATTGGTCCCTTCAGTCCTTTGGAACAATAACCACTACGGACATTAAACTGATTATATAGATACAGGTCCTAGCCCAATACTCCTATTCATATATGCTGCACTGCTGCACTTGCTACTTCCCATTAAAAACCCCAAAGATAAAAAGTATGTTGACACGGACTGCTCTGATTTTATGTGTGGTCTGTGCATGTGTAACTGAGCCTGCATCTGGCACAACATCCAATTAGATCACGTAGATAGTTTTGATTTATCAGCAGCCAACGACATGGAACAAACTGTTAGTCCATGGGTCAGAGACCAACGAGAATGCACCAGCAAAATGATTCCTAACATTATTTTGTTTGCCTACAAAAGTACGTGGAGACCAACAAGAAACAAATCGCGGTCAAAAAGACTCGAGAGGACTCGAAAGTCAAACCGTAGGACTTGGGACTGACTTGAGATTTGTTGGCCTTTGACTTGGACTCAACTCGGGACTTGCCTGTCTTGACTCGTGACTTGACTCGGGACTTGAGGGCAATGAATTGAGACTGACTTGTGACTTGCTAAACAATGACTTTGTCCCACCTCTGAACACGACTCTTTCTCTTCCAAACAACACGACTCTGACTCTTTCTCTTCCAAACAACACAACTCTGACTCTTTCTCTTCCAAACAACACGACTCTGATTCTTTCTCTTCCAAACAACACGACTCTGACTCTTTCTCTTCCAAACAACACGACTCTTTCTCTTCCAAACAACACGACTCTGACTCTTTCTCTTCCAAACAACACGACTCTGACTTATTGACTCTTCTGTCCGACCGCAGCCTTGATAGTGCAGGTGGAAGTGTTCTGAGAAAATCCATGTATCAGACAGAAAACAGAGGCGGGGGGCACAGTGGGGTCCCGTCCAACCTCACAAGCTTCATCTTGTCCTTGTCGATGTTTCCGAACAGACCGTCAGAGGATCCATACTCCCCCCAGACGGCACAGCTGGCAGCCTTCAGGTGAGTGTCTCGGGGATTACAGCGAAGAGGACGGTGTAAAAGCTTCAGAAGTGTCGGGTTCTTCTTTATCCACAATATAAGGTTTTGTGATGTTATTATGTATATGTGTGAAAAGCTGGTTGGGGTTCTGGTATTCTTGCTTTGTCTCCCCCCTTCCCTTTGTGTTTTTTAGGGCTTGGGGGTGACAAGGGGCGTGGCTAGTGTGTGAAAGGGCGTGGCCTGTGAGTGACAAGGGTCCAAGACCAGAGAGAGAGACCAGAGAGAGAGAGACCAAGACCAGAGAGAGACCAGAGAGACCAAGACCAGAGAGAGACCACCAAGACCAGAGAGAGAGAGACCAAGACCAGAGAGAGACCAGAGAGAGACCAGAGAGACCAAGACCAGAGAGAGACCAGAGAGAGAGAAATACCAAGACCAGAGAGAGACCAGAGAGAGACTAGAGAGAGACCAGAGAGAGACCAGAGAGAGAGACCAGAGAGAGACCAGAGAGAGACCAGAGAGAGACCAGAGAGAGAGAAAATACCAAGACCAGAGAGAGACCAGAGAGAGACTAGAGAGAGACCAGAGAGAGACCAGAGAGAGAGACCAGAGAGAGACCAGAGAGAGACCAGAGAGAGACCAGAGAGAGAGACCAGAGAGAGACCAGAGAGAGACCAGAGAGAGACCAGAGAGAGAGACCAGAGAGAGACCAGAGAGAGACCAGAGAGAGACCAGAGAGAGACCAGAGAGAGACTAGAGAGAGACCAGAGAGAGACCAGAGAGAGACCAGAGAGAGACCAGAGAGAGAGAGACCAGAGGGAGACCAGAGAGAGACCAGAGAGAGACCAGAGAGAGACCAGAGAGAGACCAGAGAGAGAGATCAGAGAGAGACTAGAGAGAGACCAGAGAGAGACCAGAGAGAGACCAGCGAGAGACCAGAGAGAGACTAGAGAGAGAGACCAGAGAGAGACCAGAGAGAGACCAGAGAGAGACCAGAGAGAGATCAGAGAGAGACTAGAGAGAGACCAGAGAGAGACCAGAGAGAGACCAGAGAGAGACTAGAGAGAGACCAGAGAGAGACCAGAGAGAGACCAGAGAGAGAGATCAGAGAGAGACTAGAGAGAGACCAGAGAGAGACCAGAGAGAGACCAGAGAGAGACCAGAGAGAGACTAGAGAGAGACCAGAGAGAGACCAGAGAGAGACTAGAGAGAGACTAGAGAGAGACCAGAGAGAGACCAGAGAGAGACCAGAGAGAGAGACCAGAGAGAGACCAGAAAGAGAGACCAGAGAGAGAGACCAGAGAGAGACCAGAGAGAGAGACCAGAGAGACTGTTTTATAAAAAACATATGTTTTATAAAAAAGGCACTGGAGCAGAATGAAAACTGTCTTTGAATCAAATCAGATGTAAATGTTTAGAAAGAAACAAGAATAATGTCCCTGTTTCAGCAGAAAGCCACACTCAAAGACAGTCCAAGAGCTCTTTTATATTTCTGTTTCCAAAAACACTGAAGTGAGTAATTAGACGAGTATTAAAATCTCTAACAGCACTTCTCACATTTTAAATTACACAGTTCATCAGTTGGGTTTACAGAATATGTTTAAATTCCCCTAATTATCCTAAAAGAGAATGTATTAAGACTTGTGAAGCTTCAAGTGGAAGTGAAAACGAAAACACTCAAGGTTTGAAAGAATCTTAAATGAGCAGAGTTCTGGAACAGTTGGAACGAAGACGAGACTTTAGGAAACGGGAAAACCCAGAGAAAGACTTTGTTTGTTCTGATGCAGAGAACGACAGAGTCAGAGGCGTCGCTTTAGTTTGGGCTGAAGTAAAAACACAAGGAGCTGTGGGGCCAGAAGTATTTCAGTTTTTATTTTCTTGAAGGATTGGACTCAACCACAACTGGTTTTGGAAGACGTTGAATAGAGAAAACATTTCATTTGATTAAAAGTTTAAAGGAGGATTTTAGGAAAGAACCGCCCTCTCTCCTTTTGAACCCAACTCTCTGGTCTTATTGGACGTATCAGCAGAATGATTGACAGGTGGGAGGACCAATCGTCTTGATGATCCACCCAGAAGTAGAAAATCCTCCTTTAACATTGAAGAGCAGATTTAATTGTCCAGTTGTTTTCGTACATGTCATAACCATCAACGCTGCAAGTTACTGCGATAATGATCATTGGGAATCATTTCAGGGGCCACTAACAATGTTTTCTTGGGCTGGATTTTGCCCACGGGCCTGAGTTTGACCTGCCTGGGCTGTGATATTAGGCTGGACTCAGGGTCATTGGAGAATCAGTCTGCAGCAGTTTTTACAGTGTTTTTGTCTGAGTTTGGGCCGTCGTGTCTTCATCCTCACACTTCCTGCTGTATCAGTCTCTCTCTCTCTAGAGGGTTAGGGTTAACCCTATTCTTTCATCACACGACAGACACACCTCTCTAAACTACAGCGACGCCTCACGATCAATGATCCAATAAAAACTGTGGAAATATGGATCGGTTTTTTATCAAAGCTTCTGACGATCAAAATAACTACAGCGTCTTTTCAAAACATTTCAGTTTTTGTTTTAAAGTGGTTTGGATTCTGACCCATTTGGTCTATTTCTCCTTTATTTCTTGCTTTTTGAAAGATACAAGTGGAAGATCTTGGTTATTCCTTGACATTAAAGTTTTATTCCTTAAAACAAACAAATGAACAACATCGACTGTGAAAGTGATGATTCCACTAAAATGCAGCTTTTTGTGGAACTTCCCTCGATTCTCACTGCTCCTAAAAAGATTAACTTGTTTTATTTGTGTTTTTCTCTGCCTCTGCTGTTGCTGTTGCGTGTCTTCACACCGAGGCGGTCATCACTGAGGAGAGTCATGCATGTAAGTGAGTTCCAGCCTCTTACCTTCACCTCTCTCCTTTCTCTGAGCTTTTCACTGCCGCCTTGTGACGCACACACACACACACACACACGCACACACACACACATGCACACACACACACACACGCACGCACGCACACACACACACGCACACACACACACGCACACACATACACGTTTTTGTTACCTGGTGGGTCCCTTTGACAGGGCCGTTCAGAATGGGACCCATAGACATAATCTTTTTTTACTGGGACTACTTTAAGTAATACAAAACAGTCAATAGAAACCAAACAACTCTTTTAAAGGAATTTTATTTTAGATTTTGTTTTCGAATTGCAGTGATTCTATTTTTGACATAGAATTTAATGCCACTCCATGTCCGATGTCTAAGGTCATCTGGTGAGGCATTAATGCAGGCCAGGCCAGGCCAGGCCAGGCCAGGCGGTGAGACTTCCCAGGGACCTTTCCAGTCTGTATGAAAGGTGTCATGGTCTTCTCCACAGCCTTCACCTCAGATGCAGACCATGGCTTTCTCTAACGTTCTAGGGAGAGAAATAAAAATATATTAGCAATATACACTCCCAGGGTGAGGACCAAGCAGCCTGGCTGTAATCCCCCACCTGGTACACTTACCAGAAGGGGCACTGCCACTACCATAGGGTGCATCTGGATGAATGGTTGAAGGTTCTCCGCTTGAAGTTTCTTTTAGCCCGTCCGTTTGTGAGAGGATCTCTACTGCTCTCCCTGTCGCACAGAAAATAAAAATACAAGTGGCCTTTAGGGGAAAAAAATCATACATATTTTAATAATATCAAGAATTACCTTCAGGCTCAATTTGTATCTGGTCGAGGCTCTTTCCTTCGAATTCCGTCACTCTTCCCTGCTCCATGGCCATCAACACTTTGCTGATTTTGGCCAGCTCCAGTGTCCCCTCTGGTAGTCTGTAATATTGCCTGTGGATGCGAATGTCATGGCCGAGGAAGTTGGCAAGTATGTCCATCTCATTCTCTTTCATATTGAGAACTGTAGACATAGTAGCTATGTGCTTTCTAAGTTTGGTTGAGGATAGCATCTCTGGATGCACCGCACCACATTCTTTGGCTACCTGGCGTAGGGAGTCTGATCCCCTGATGTGGGTGTCTGCGCCCGGGCGGGAAAAGAAGTATGGGTTATGGTCAGAGATGGAACAGGCCCTTCTGTTCTCCACCAGCACCTCCATCGAAGCAATCATTTCAGGAGTCAAAAGAACCGGCACTTTCCGACTTCTTTTCCCTTTAATTTCAATGCGTTGAAAATGCTGACACAGCTTTTTCTCAAGTTGGGACAGTCCCAGAGCAATGTCAGAATGGATCCCAGTCTTACTTCTTAAGGTAAAGGCTGTCAGTGGCATCTTTGAAACCTCACCTTCCCTTCTTCGATTGAAAATGATGACCTCACAAAGAGTCAAAACTGCCAGTTTAGACCAATGCTTAGACGTTGGCTCACTTATTAGGGTTTGCACATATTCAGGTCGACATACCTCAATATGTGCATGCATGGCTCTAACGTCCTCAGTCAGAGGGAGCAGGTCCGGAGTGTTCCACTTGGCTTGCCGGAGGGTCTGTAGGGCAGCAGAAGAAACACAGACGTCCCACCTCTTCTCAAAAAGCAGCCGGCTTCGTTGGAGGTTTTTAATAAATAGTTCATCAACACAATGCTCCATTTTTGAGTCACATTCAAGAATATCTGCTAGCTTTCTGAGGCTATGGCCGAGTTTGAGGGCCAAGGATGGAGTCTTGTATTGATTTGTTTCCTCATCATATCCAGCCACAGACCTGACTGCATCAATCACATGGTTAAAGTTGGAAGGAATAAAGAAATCCTTAATTGTTTTCAGTTTCCCTGCGGTTTTTGCTTCGTTAATTAACCTACCGACTTCTCTCATTTTCTGCCTAATGTAATCATGCTTAGTCTTATCATGCCCGTGTTTTAAGTACAGGTGCTCTCCGAGTCTCAGAATCCCCTTTTCTGCTTTGACAACACCCGTGACCTCATCCTGATGCATTGCCGAAATTAAAGACCACAGCTTTTTGCTGATGCCCTCCGGTACAGGCTGGGCTAGGGAGCAGAGGGACTGGACCCTACTTCTACCTGGTTTAGCCTGGG